GCAAGAGTTCTTTGTTCAAATACTTTCCCTTTTTCATGTGAGTAAACACGTGATCTTTTTCATGTGAGTAAACACGTGATCTTTTTCATGTGAGTAAACACGTGATCTTTTTCATGTGAGTAAACACGTGATCATGTATGAGTGTAATTTATTGTTCAATATACAGAATATTAAACGATTTTTTAGTGTTAATGTTTGTAAGGCAAGAATAGACAGAAAAAATTGAAAGTCAAAACAAGAACATAAAGCAATCAAGCGCATGCGCTGATTGGTCTATAGCTGTGTTTTCATTAGCTTGTGCAAACCGATCTGAGCTCAACAAATCAAATCAATCAAAGAGAATTCGCAAATCAATCATGAATACATTTTAGAGGAAAAATTAAAACGTTTGTTTTAAATTTGTCTATTTGCATTATTGATATTTTTAAAAGATATTTTTCCTGTTTGACCTTATGCAAACCTCAGACGTTTGTGAGAACTCTTGAGCATGTGCAACCTTACCTTCGGTTTTGGCTTTGCACTGATTTGCTCTCAAGTTCTCACAAAGGTCTCCTCGGTTTGCATAAGCCCGTGCAAACACAGTAAAAATCTTTTATTTCGTAATAATACAACACAAAGAACTGAAACTTTGACTTGTTTTAGAAAGAAAATCAAAATGCTACTACCTATTATTTCATGAATAGTTTATCAATTTTCCTCTAAACTTTTAGCAAATATTTTACAGGCAAACTTCAACTGTATCATCTGTTTCAACGACGACAACGACAAAACAAACTGTTCCTTCTGCATATCATGGTTAAAAGGTAAAATTTGTAGGATGTCTGTCGAAAAAAACAGAGCATAGAAATTGTATGAGTTATATTGCATATATATAACATACGTATAGTTCAGTATATATAAATATAATATGTCTACAAAGTAGAAGAATTTCCTGATGCATCAACTTCAACAACTCTTTATTGTATGTGTTGTATACAGATATGATTTGTCAGTATTTGCTACTATATAATAGTACATCATACTGGGTTTTAACAAGTTAAAACATAATATTTAACTTGAAATGAAAACAATCGTATATTAAATACATCACACGAAAAGTACAATGCTATTAAATGTTGTGCTATCTCTGCACGATTTGATCAATTTACATATCCCGCGTCACCCAGCTCTTGCTGGCGAATGTTTATACGACTTGACACGTGACCAATTTTGAGCAATACGTCATATGACTTTTTGCGCCAATCTTTCCCGCGCTATGTGTAAAGAGATTTCTCGCTGAAACAATCTTTATCGTAAGTATTACGTGAAATATTTCATTTGTAAGTTTCAAAGTATTACAGTGAGTAATATCACCTTTTTATTTCAAAGAAGAAGCGTAACACGTACAGTCGTTATTGTAAGTATTGTACAAAATTTCTAAGAACAGGATTTACTACTTCCTACATGTATGTATTGTAATATGAAGATGTCTTCAGCTAAAGACGAAACGTTATTGTTGATAAAATTATATAAAAAAGGCCATATTAAAAGTTTCATGATGGGCAATTATATTTATACTAAGAATTCGCTTTCCGCCTTGCAAATCCATTTTCCATATTTTATAACATCACAAGATTGTTTAAACCTGCGACATCAACATGATTTTTCTTTGAAGCTGTTGCCAAAGTCGTTTCCAAACTAAAAACGAAAATAGCTTTGTCGTAGTTCCGTTTTTTACAAAATTTTACCAAGATTGTTTAAAGACTAGCGACATCAACATGATTTGGACCTAACGATTGTTTTGAATTTCCAGAGCTTCATTTCATTGATTTTCGATAGCTGTCAAAGTCTTTCAAGATCAGAAAAGATTTGACGAAGAAACATGATTGGACCTAACGATTTTTTGTATTTGGAGCTTTTTACCAGAGCTTTGATAATTCCAGGTTTATCAAAGATTTTTACGTTAAATACATGATTGTTTTTCAGTTTTGAAAAAAGATTGTTCAAGAACTCAGAAATGATTTGGACCTAACGACCGTTAGAAGCATTTCGTAAAGACTTTGCGTAGGTCGTTTCCTTTACCAAATTGTTTTTGAATTTAACTGCTTTTGGACCTATCGTTTGTTTAGTTTCCAGTTTATAAATACATTACCGATTGTTTAAGTAAGAAATCAACATTAGATTGTTAATTTTGTTCGCGAATCCCAGCTTCGGACCTCATATAAAACTAAAACTAAAAGACATAAAGTAATCAATTTGTTTTAATTCCCATAGATTGCCGTTGTTTATAGACTTTGCATTTTCAACATTTTCACCCAAAGATTGTTTTCGAATTTCCAAGCTTTCCATGTCGCATGGAGATTGAAAATTTTTTAAAAAGGACAACATATAATGTCTGATTTAAATAACAAAGTTAAGAAAAAATACATTTTAAAATGTTTTCTGTCCAAAATTTGGAAAACTTTGGTGTTGTGCATTTAATTTGTTGGTCTTTAATTTGAACAATTCAAGATTGGCATTAATTTGATTTCGTCGTCTCTCTCTGTACAAGTGCATAGATATTGTTACGTTATTTCTTCCATTTGATTTCTCTCATTGAAAATGTAATTGATAAACAATTGCTTAGTACATGTCATTATTTAAGATTTTCTGAAAGAACAATGAGCATTCGTCTAAACAAAGACATATATCTTCCTCAGCTTGTTTGGAATTTTGTTGAACATAATAAACCATAATGTCTCGTGGTAAAGGATCAAATGATATCATAGAAAAAGCTAATAACCAGTGCCAATATTGAGGATTCTTCTGCACTTTGTTTGACAGCTAAAAGTGAAGCTTGTAACATACTTCTAGGATATACCGAGTTAAATTTAACAAAAGTGGCGTCCATGTTTTCTTCTTCTTCTGAAAATATTTTCTTTAAATATTGACTCCAAGTAAATGAACAGTTCGCTTTGTTTACACGACTGATATAATAACCAGTAGCAGCCAAAGCAAGCGGTTGACGATCTAATGCGTGTGATACTTCATTCAACAATTGATCATCAGCATTTTCATCTTTAGTGTAAGAATTCAACAATTGACAACATTCTCTGTCATTCATTCCACTACTGATAGAAACCCGTTTGCTGGACAATTCATCGTGAGGTACGGCATCTGTATTCTGAACCGTTAATATTAGTTGTCCATTTTTCCACATGTGATCACCTACTTGTGGTAGTAACGAAGAAATTTCGCTCAGTTGCACAACGTTGTCGACAATAATTAACCAATTTTGCCAGAATTTCAATCGAGCAGATACTAACGATCGAAGGTTCTTGACTTTCTCTTTGGCGGAAAAATTTTCATCTTTAAATTTTTCAACCATAAACTTGTTACAGTTTAAGCGGTATCCAAGGTCACAGTAAGATTTTAAAAGAGATTCCACATTCTTCCCATCGAGAGTCATTACAAACGAAGTTCTATTTTCCCAATCACACGATATTTTTTCACAAACCTGACTCGCCAGTTGAGATTTACCACTGCCAGGATTACCAGTGATGTAGAAATATGTCAGTTCGTTATTGTTATTATTCCTTAATTTTTCAAGATCGTTTATGATTTTATCTTGTAATTCAGTGCGTTCAACGAAAAAATGATTAGGTTTTGAAGGAAGCACTTGGAACGAATTAAAACTGTTACGATGATTTTTTATTTTATTGATTTCATCGAGAGAAAATTTCAAATCTTGAAATGATTTTTCAATGATGTTGACTATGTCATCAAAATCATCATCTGAGTATTCGCTTTCATACCAATGTGCGTACTTGTTTCTTTCACAACGAAGTGCATGAACAGCATCCTTTGTGTTTTTATCAAGATGTCCGCTAATCGATTTTGAAAAAAGTATAGCATCGAATAATGTTGTGCAGTCCCATTTACTTGTGTCTCCATCTTGATATTTTAACTTTAGTGTTTTATCCAACTTCCTACCGGATTCTAAAGTGCAAAATTTTTTGCCACTATTTTTGGTATCGTCCCATTCGCCATGTGTTAATTTGTAACGAGAGTTCCATTCTTTGATGAAAAATTGAGCAAGTTCCGTTTGTACAACATTGATTATTTGCTGAATGTAAAGTAGATTTCTGCTTTCTCTTGATTCCATCTAAAAAAGAACATGATGTATCAACAAGACAGTTAAAATCATCAATTTTGAAAGTTCGACCAACATCATATATCACTCTTCGTTAAAGTCGAGGATATACATGATGAAATCAAAGTTATTTATTCGTTTATAAATTCAACTTCACCAAAAGCATGCAATTAATACAAATTGAGACATAGACAACTACTAAATGGCAGAGATAATGCTACAGCTTTTTCCAATTATAGCAGCTTTTCAACAAAACATTAAAAACAACATGATATTCCACTGGATAGTACATGTGACTTGTTACAAGACAGACATTGCTGGTGCTAGATTTTTATGTCTTTGGATCGTCGATGTCAAATATCGTTTGTAATGGCGAAAATCCAAGTTAGAAATGCTAGGATACCTCTGTATTGACGGTATTTCTATACATCAGTTGATTGTTACTTGACACGTTAATTCACACTTTACCTTACATACCTTAACTGACATGCGTGGCATTCAAAATTAGACTATTTACTTTAACTTGTTTTGTTAGAATTAAAACAGCAGAAAAAGCAACCATCTTAAAAAAGCCTAATATGTCAGGTGAATGTTGATCAAAGTGGACTTAGTAAAGAAAAAAGCGGTATGGTGTAATAAGTGAGAAGGGAAACAGTTCCTTCAGCAAAAAGTGAAAAGACTTGCTTCTAGAGATAATTTAAAATATTAAAATAGCCTTGGCTTGAATTGACTAATGCTACGAGTTTATTTTACTTAACCTTGTTACTAGCACATGTTGGAAAATAAACCATTATAATAATTCAGGTCGCGTGACGTGAAGTAAAATTGATTACTGTTAACCAATGGGATAATAGAGCAGGGCATGTTAAGAAAAGTTTCATTTTTTTCAAGGGTAATCTAGTTGAATATCGTAGCGAACTGTGATACATTATGTTCTTTAAACGTACGACACTTTGCGTTGTAAATATCGTGAGACTTTTCGCAGATTCATACCGGGGAGGCGACTAACTTGCGAAACACAAAAGCTTTTTTGCTTCTGAGAATTTTGACAGCAAAATATACAAAGATGGAAAACGTTAAAGGAATGTTACAGAATGATGCAGATCTAATACTAAATACAAAAAAAAGATGAAAAGACTCACGCTGCTCACTGATCATTTAGGGTGAAAGGAGAAAAAAGGAGTACAGCAAAAGCAAAAGTGAACACCAGCATTCTTATAAATGAATATGTCACTCACGAGGACATTTTACACTTATTGTCTACAAAAAAGAACAATTTAATCTGTTACTTCCACTACAAAGGAAAAAAGTCAGCATATTGTGCTAAAAAAGATGATAAAGAAAAAATTGATTAGGTGGCGTTTATCACAAATAAAAAGAGAATAGATTTGATTGGATAATTAATTCTGGTGCCACTTAGCATATGAAGTGTGAACATGACTATTTATCGGACTATGAAGAGTTGAGAAAGCCAACGAAAGTAATTCGTGGGGATGAACGTTTAATATTGGTTTATGGGAAAGGAACTTACCGCGTGGCCATTAATTTATATAAGTCACATCAACGCAGCGTAATCTGGAGCAAAGTGCAACATTTCCAATTGAAAATGAGATATCTGAGCGGTTAAACTAAGCTTAAATTTCAGAGTCAGCCAGTGGCTTCTCCGTGATGTATGTAATGTAAGAAAAGTAAAATTTAACACATTTTTTTGAAACAGAAAATATATGGCGGCCGTCAAATAAAGACACTTTGCGAGCAAATTTTAATTGGTTCAACAAAGTTCTGTTGGGTTAACAGGTATTTTGAATTATTTTGTATAATACGAGGGGGATCAGTTGCGTGCTAGGAACACTCCAGGGGGGGCAGTCAGGTACTAGCTGCTACTAAAAATGAGCCCTAAATATAGACACTTTAAAAACGGGGCCCAAAGCCTGATCCGAGAACCCAAGGTGCGAGTCGTGTTTGGGGAGTCCGAGGGTAAATGCTCTCAGGGAAAATTCTTTATTAAGAAGCCATTTCATGGACTTTGAGGAGTGAAATCATTCTAACCGTATAATGCCAAATGCGTTTCTCCAATGCAATTTTAAAATTTGACGCCCTTATTCCTTACAGCGCCTCTTAAAAATAAACATCTGAGGGAGCCACGGCCCAGCCCCCCCGTCCAGCACGTCACTGGGAGGATGTTGGTAATTTCTCCACAGTTTTTTAGGGTGGATGTTGTTGCTTAAACTGAAACATCATTTTATTAAAAAATGCCTTTGACAACTTTTATATTTGAGATTTTAAATACCGTACTTTTAAAAGTCAGGGTTCTTCTGTCGATGACTATGAATGTACAAGCTTCAAATGTTTTTTAGATTATCTGTGTTGTGGAACAGTTATATTAAGTAAAATTGAGAATTGTGTGTCGACTGCGCGTAAAGTAGGATAGTAAACAGTCCCAAAAACGAATTGGCAGACGCATAACTGCTTTGTGCTAATGTGCAAAGGAGAAAATTGCTACACGTGGTCCTTCGAGTCGGAGATATTTTAGTTGGAGATCTTTTTGGAAATTCAAGTTAGTTAGTCCAATAGCAGAATGGATGAATTTATGAAAAAGAAACGAGTGCACGCAGGACATAGAGGATCAGCGAGAAAAATTGCTAGTAAAATAAAAGAGAAAATACGAGAAACGGACGGCGAGATCGATAGAAACGAACTGAGACAACTACGATATGGATAGAACGACAAGATCGCAACATTGAAAATCGATGACGCAATTATCGATATGCTGAACGATAGCAATGAGGAAAATGCGGAAGAATTGGGAAAAGAATTTGAAGATGCGGACGAGATACAGGCAGAATTTGAGAGAGCAACTATGGATGTGAACGACATCGTCAAGGAGTCTAATGTCCCAGTTAAAACGGCAGCAACGAAATTAAATGGCACGCTGAACAGCAGTGTAAGTAGTGAGACGCGCAGAGTTATAAGAGCAAAACTCCTAAATGTGGAAGTAAAGAAATTTAGCGGAGGGCTGCAAGAATGGCAAGAGTTTTTGGATTCGTTTGATAGTGCGGTGAATAATAATGACGGATTGGCTGACATAGCAAGTTTGCGTATTTAAGAGTCTTTTACTGGAACCTGCAAGATCGACAATATTAGGTTTTGCCCTAACTTCAGCGAACTATCACGAAGCTGTAGAATTGTTGAAACGAAGATACGGGAAAAAGAATGTGATCAAGAAAGCGCATATCTAGGAGTTAATGAACGTAAAACCCGTAACGGACGAAAGAGACATCGAAAAGCTTCGGCTGTTATACGACACCTGCGAGACAAGCTACCGGGGTTTGAAGGCCTTAGGAGTGGACAAAGCCGTATATACTTCCATCGTAATACCGGAAGTCATTGCGTAGTTGCCGGACCCTTTAAATTGACAATTACAAGAGGTTCGATTTAACGGAATGGTCAATGAAAGATACGTTGAACGCAATTCTTAAAGAGTTGGAGCTTCGAGAAGCTCACACACCGATCGGCGAGAAAACCAAGAGACAAGATGGGGAGAAACAACGAGAAACGTCGCGACAAAGACATGTGGCGTCATCATCATCACTGAACGCGAAGCACGAGATTTGCAACGAGGAGTCAATGAACGGTAAAGCGAAAAGAAAATGCGTTTATTGTCTCGGGGAACACAATCCAGAGGAATGTAAGAAAATAACCAAGGTAACTGAGAAAAACAACTCATTCGTAAGTACGGAAGATGTTTTATTTGTTTGAAGAAAGGACATGTCAGTAAGAATTGTAATAGTAATGATAAATGTAATGCATGTGAGAAGGCACACCATAGGTCAATTTGTGAAGTCAATGGGATTCTTACAGGCGATGTTCAAACCAATCATTCTATTCTGGGATCACATTGTAGGGTAGCATTACAGACAGCACAGGCTTTCATTAAGGGAGATAAGGGACGTGTTAGGGTCAGAGTGTTGTTTGATTCAAGAAGTCATTTGTGAATAGAAAGATTATACAGAGAGCAGGTACTTAGGCTAGTAGAAAATAATGGATAGAAATCAAGTTGTTTGGTCAAGAGAAGGCTAAAGGTAAGTTGCGAGAAGTATTTTAATTAGAGTTGTCGTCAGTTATGGAGGGAGAGAGTGTAAGCATCGAGGCATACAGTGTAGACTGTATATCTCAAATTAGGAATGAACATGTAGAGTTGAGAAAGATGGATTATTCACATTTAAAGAGTCTGTGGTTTTCAGATGTTTGCAAGGATAAGGAAGTTTTAGATATTAAAGTTTTGATTGGGGCAGATTATCATTGGTGGTTTCAGGAAAGCAATGTTGTTCGGGGACAGGTAGATGAACCAGTTGCTGTGTCTACTAAGTTAGGTTGGGTGTTGTCCGGCCGCATGAAAGGGAGAAATTTGATAACATGCACACTCAAGTAAACTTCATTGCGCATGAAAGTTCAGAAAATTTAAGTTTAGATAAGAATGTCAATCATTTGTGGGATTTTGAAACTTTAGGAATAGCAGAGGAAGATTATTTTCATGAATTGTTAAAGGATTCTATTGTGTTTAATGGCAACAGATACAGTGTCAAATTGCCTTGGAAAGAAGGACATAGTTTAGACTATACAAATTACAGCATAAACTTGAGAAGATTCAAGGGTCAGTTAGTACGGCTGAAAAGGTAACCAGAAATTTTAGAAGAGTATGATAAGACAATCAAAGATCAATTGAGGAAGGGTATTATAGAACCAGTGATAAAACTGGAGCAAGCTGATAAAATACATTATTTACAACATCATGCAGTTATTTGCAGAAAGCAAAACAACTAAGGTAAGAGTTGTTTATGATACATTGTGTAAAGAGTCACCCAAGGCTGCCTCGCTCAATGACTGCTTGCATGTGGGACCCAAATCAGCACCATTGCTCTTTCATATTTGATAAAGTTTAGAGAGAAGAGAGTCGCTTTAGTGGCAGATATTGAAAAGGCATTTTTGAATACAGAAGTTGATACTTTGTACTGGGACTGCCTAAGATTTTTATGGGTTGATGATGTAAACAATGAGAGGGTGAAGCCTGTAGAATATTGATTTTGTAGAGTAGCGTTTGTGTTAACTGCTCTCTATTTTTGTTGAATGCGACACTGCAGTATCATTTAGACACATTCATAGAGATGGAACAAGCACACTGTTAAAAAACTCAAAGATAGCTTTTATGTCCAGGATCTAGTGTCCGGTGAACAATCCAAGAAGAAAGGAATGAGGTTGTATGAGTCAGCAAGTGAACGATTGGCTGCAGGAGGATTTAGGCTTAGGAAGTGGCTAAGTAACGATGAGAATGTTTTGAAAGAAATAGAATAGAGAGAAAGAAGCATTTTGAGGAAAGAAGGGCAGAATTAAGTAATTCAAAAGTGGTTGATGAGCAAACTTATGCCAAAGCATCAGTTGGGGAAAATAGTATCAGTGGAAGTTTTGAGAAAGTACTAGGATTGGGATGGGAGTGTAAGTAGGATCACTTTGTATTTAGCCTCTGGAAATTGTGTGAAAGAGCAAAGGCTATCATACCAAGTAAATGAAATATACTAAGTATACTTGCAAGATTATTCGATCCCTTAGTTATTATAAGTCCAGTTGTAGTTTGTGCTAAGTTATTGTTTCAGGAGCTGTGTATTGAGAAATCTGATTGGGATAATGAGCGAGAAGGTGACAAGAAAAAACGTTAGGAAAGGTGGATGGTGATTTAGAGAGAGTCAGGGATTTAGTTGTGGCGAGATGTGTGTATGGTAATTTACTTGGTAAGGTAAAGTGTTATTTGCATGGGTACGCAGATGCCAGGCAAAAGGCATACTGTGCACTCGTATATTTTGTGACAGAGCTAAACGGTGCCTACCACGTAGAGTTGCTTACGTCGAAAACAAGGATAGCGCCAATAAAATTGCAGACAACTCCCGGATTAGAAGTGATGTCAGTTGGAATATTAGCACAGTTGATGGACGCAGTGAAGTTGGCCTTAGAAGGTTATGTTCAATTTAATGGTAAATACTATTGGTTGGACAGTATGACTGCATTGTGCTGGATCGGTAATAGGGGAGAATGGAAACAGTTTGTGCGCCATAGAGTTAACGAGATTTTAAGATTGAGCAGGAAGGATGACTGGAAACATTGGCGGGTGTAGAAAACCCAGCGGATTAGGTTCAAGGGGATTTACGGCATCACAATCAAAGGAAAGTGAAGGGTCCGAAGTGGTTGTCAAGTCCCAAGTGTGATTGGCCAATGCCAAAAGAGGTTAAAACAACAGACGAAAGTCTTGTGGAAGTCGGGAAGACAGTATTAGCTAACACACAGGCGGTAGATAAAGATTGTGTGATAAAATTTGCAAATTTAGTCAAATTAAAGTATACATCGCATTATTTTCCTTCTGTGTTTCAAGAACAATTTGTCTTGATTTAGTTGATAGTTTATGTGCACGCTGTTTATTGAATTGTATGCGAAGATTTACTGCTAGAATGGGAGCACCCTCCCTAATAGTTTAGGACAACGTCAAAACATTTAAAGCAACTGAGAAAGCGTTGAAGGGGATTTATGGAAGTAAGGAGGTAACATCTTGATTGGAAAGTAATCGGTTGATATGGAAGTTTAATTTGGCGAGGACACCTTGGTGGGGTGGAGTTTTTGAGATAATGGTAGCATTGGTGAAAGGTTGTCTGAGGAAGGTGTTATGTAACGCTAAATTGAGCAAGAAAGAATTGTTAACAACATTAGTTGAGGCACAAGGTACGTTAAACTCTAGACCATTGACTTATGTATATGAATATGAAGTGAATGTAGATGTACTGACTCTTGCACATCTTATGTTTGGAAGAAGATTATTTCTTCCAGACGAAGGAATTCTGCATACTATTAATGACAAAGATGCAGGAGTGGTCAAGCGTAGGTTTAGGTATTTAGCAAGATTGAGAAAGCATTTTTGGTCCTGGTGGAGGAAGAAATACAGCGTCTTACATGTAGAAAATACAATCATGCTATTCTTCCTCATCAAACTTTTTAACAGGTTTTACTGTTTTTACCTAACATGCAGCTTATGGTCAATAGTTAAAAAGTTGGTATATCAACTTAGACATGATTTCTCAGGCATGTTTATCCATACTTCATCTATAGATGTTTCTTTAGCTAATTTGTTAAGTCCGTAATGTGGATATAAATCTCGCTTTACTTTTGTAAAATTACCTTTGTTTTAGAAGTAAGACTTCATATCTGACGATCTCGTCGTCCAAATTAAGCTTGCTTTAGTTCTTTACATGTCACATACCTAACAAAAGATGAGAGATTTAATATAAAGAACGCGACCACATACATATCAGTTTGAAATTCCAAAGGACTACTTTAAATAATATAAAGTTAAACAAGCTTAAATTCAGGAATAAAGGGATCATCTTTCTAAAATAGGATTTGAATGTGAATGATTAAGACACAATTTTTTAAACTTTAAATCGATTTTTTCACTTCGCTAATTAAAAATTCCATACACGTATATTATTGCAAAAGTCAGTTTATATTATAAAAAGACCTTTGTTATTGAATAATCCATCGTAAATTATCAATACATTTTAATTATCAACTGCACGCAATTGTAAATACTTATGATCAATAGAAATCACTATGCATATAACAGTGAAGGATGCAATGAAAGTAAACTTTAACACTGTTAAACTGAAATATGATCAAAAGTATAGTTTTGAAAGCTCTGTGTTGCATGAATCAACATTTTACAAAAAATAGATTCGGTCGCGTTCTTCCTCTGTGTGTAAATCCATTCTTCCTGTGTTTAACTTTTGCTAATTTTTCAAATTTCCTTACTTATAAAAAAAATGGTTTGTCGTATACAACTATGAACATTTTGCTAGACACACAGAGATTAGTCAAAAGTGCCGTCAGCAAAGAAGGGAGGTGATGCATAATTGAACATGTGCCCACCCCGTACATAAATTTTTATATAAGAACCTCATGCAGAGTACATAATAACATTGAGATTAGTCAAATTCCAAAGGACTACTGCTAAATCTTATAAAGTTTCACAAGTTTCAACTAAGGAATAGAAAATCATCTATCTAAGACAAGATTTGAATGCCAATGATTAAGGCACGATTTTCGCAACTGTGAATAGAGTTTTTTCCATTATTAATGAAAAATTTCATACATTTATATTCTTGCATAAGTCAGTTCTTATTACAAAAAACCTTTGTTATTTAATAAACCATTGTAAATTATGAATACGTGGCAAACATCAACTGCACGTAATTATAATTACTTATGATCAATAAAGACACTGTGGATACAACTGTAAAGGTTGCAATGAAAGTAAACTTTAAAACAGTTAAACATGATCTAAACTATAATTCTAACAGCTCACTTTGTTGCATGAATCAACATTTCCCAAAAATAGATTCGGTTGCGTTCTTTCTCTGTGTAAATACATTCTTCCTGTGTTTAACTTTTGCTTATTTTTCAACTTTCCTTACTTATAAAAGAAATGGTTTGTTGTATACAACTATGAACATTTTGCTAGACACACAGAGATTAGTCAAAAGTGCCGTCAGCAAAAAAGGGAGGTGATGCATGATTGGTTATGTGCCCCACCCCGTACATAAATTTTTACAAAAATCCACTTTTTTTCCGTACACAAGTATAGTTTATATAGAAAAATTCAGCGTGCTACATGTAGGAAATGTTCTCATGTTATTCTGCCTCCCCCATACGTTTGAACAGATTTTACTGTCCTTTACCATGCAGCTTATTGTCAATAGTTAGAAAGTTGGTGTATCAACTTAAATATGATTTCTATTGAATATTTAGTCATACATTATCGAGATGCTTCAGTAGCAAAGTTGTTATGTAAAGTTAGTAATATAGTTTCAGAATCTCACTTTACTTTCGAAAAGGCACCTACGTTTTAGGAATAAGACTTCATACTTGACGACCGTGTAGACAAAAATTATGCTTGCTTTAGTTCTTTACATGTCACATATTTTACAAAGATAAGAGATTTAATATAAAGAACGCGACCACATACATATCAGTTTGGTGATGATAATTCATACCTTATTGTTACATCAATCTTTTATCCATGTGAGTTTTGTTACATAAACACATTTAAATAACGAACGAAGATGAAGAGTGAGTCAGGATCTCTTTCAACAAACAGTATTATAAAATATTAATGACGCCTATGTAGAACATTCTAGTTATATAACTGAGTATACATCACTGACTAAAAACAATTTTTATTGAAATAAAAATACATAAATAAGAACCTCATGCAGAGTACATAATAACATTGAGATTAGTCAAATTCCAAAGGACTACTGCTAAATCTTATAAAGTTTCACAAGTTTTAACTAAGGAATAGAGAATCATCTATCTAAGACAAGATTTGAATGCCAATGATTAAGACACGATTTTTGCAACTGTGAATGGAGTTTTTTCCATCATTAATGAAAAATTTCATACATGTATATTCTTGCATAAATCATTTCTTATTATAAAAAGACCTTTGTTATTTAATAAACCATTGTAAATTACGAATACGTGGCAAACATCAATTGCACGCAATTATATTTACTTATGATCAATAAAGACACTGTAGACACAACAGTAAAGGTTGCAATGAAAGTAAACCTTAAAACAGTTAAACATGATCTAAACTATAATTCTAAAAGCTCACTTTGTTGCATGAATCAACATTTCACAAAAAATAGATTCGGTTGCGTTCTTTCTCCTGTGTAAATACATTCTTCCTGTTTTTAACTTTTGCTTATTTTTCAAGTTTTCTTACTTATAAAAGAAATGGTTTGTTGTATACAACTATGAACATTTTGCTAGACTTACAGAGATTAGTCAAAAGTGCCGTCAGCAAAGAAGGAAGGTGATACATAATTGAACATGTTCCCCACCCCGTACATAAACTTTTACAAAAATTCCCCTTTTTTCCATAGACAAGTATAGTTTACGAAGAAAAATTCTGCCTCCTACATGTAGGAAATGTTCTCATGTTATTCTGTCTCCCCCATACTTTTGAACAGATTTTACTGTCCATTACCATGCAGCTTATTGTCAATAGTTAGAAAGTTGGTATATCAATTTAGATATGATTTCTCATGCATGTTTATTCATACATTATCGAGATGCTTCAGTAGCAAAGTTGTTATGTAAAGTTAGTAATATAGTTTCAGAATCTCACTTTACTTTCGAAAAGGCACCTACGTTTTAGGAATAAGACTTCATACTTGACGACCGTGTAGACAAAATTATGCTTGCTTTAGTTCTTTACATGTCACATATTTTACAAAGATAAGAGATTTAATATAAAGAACGCGACCACATACATATCAGTTTGGTGATGATAATTCATACCTTATTGTTACATCAATCTTTTATCCATGTGAGTTTTGTTACATAAACACATTTAAATAACGAACGAAGATGAAGAGTGAGTCAGGATCTCTTTCAACAAACAGTATTATAAAACATTAATGACGCCTATGTAGAACATTCTAGTTATATAACTGAGTATACATCACTGACTAAAAACAATTTTTATTGAAATAAAAATACATAAATAAGAACCTCATGCAGAGTACATAATAACATTGAGATTAGTCAAATTCCAAAGGACTACTGCTAAATCTTATAAAGTTTCACAAGTTTTAACTAAGGAATAGAGAATCATCTATCTAAGACAAGATTTGAATGCCAATGATTAAGACACGATTTTTGCAACTGTGAATGGAGTTTTTTCCATCATTAATGAAAAATTTCATACATGTATATTCTTGCATAAATCAGTTCTTATTATAAAAACCTTTGTTATTTAATAAACCATTGTAAATTATGAATACGCAAACATCAATTGCACGCAATTATAATTACTTATGATCAATAAAGACACTGTGGATACAACAGTAAAGGTTGCAATGAAAGTAAACCTTAAAACAGTTAAACATGATCTAAACTATAATTCTAAAAGCTCACTTTGTTGCATGAATCAACATTTCCCAAAAATAGATTCGGTTGCGTTCTTTCTCTGTGTAAATACATTCTTCCTGTGTTTAACTTTTGCTTATTTTTCAAGTTTTCTTACTTATAAAAGAAATGGTTTGTTGTATACAACTATGAACATTTTGCTAGACTTACAGAGATTAGTCAAAAGTGCCGTCAGCAAAGAAGGAAGGTGATGCATGATTGAACATGTTCCCACCCGTACATAAATTTTACAAAATTCCCTTTTTCCATAGACAAGTATAGTTTACGAAGAAAATTGCCTCCTACATGTAGGAAATGTTCTCATGTTATTCTGTCTCCCCCATACTTTTGAACAGATTTTACTGTCCATTACCATGCAGCTTATTGTCAATAGTTAGAAAGTTGGTATATCAATTTAGATATGATTTCTCATGCATGTTTATTCATACATTATCGAGATGCTTCAGTAGCAAAGTTGTTATGTAAAGTTAGTAATATAGTTTCAGAATCTCGCTTTATTTTCGAAAAGGCACCTACGTTTAAGGAATAAGACTTCATACTTGACGACCGAAAAGACAAAATTATTTTTGCTTTAGTTCTTTACATGTCACATACTTTACAAAGATAAGAGATTTAATATAAAGAGCGCGACCACATACATATCAGTTTAAAAATGGTGATAATAATTCATACCTTATTGTTACATCAATCGTTTATCCATGTAAGTTTTGTTACATAAACACATTTAAATAGCGAACGAAGATGAAGAGTGAGTCAGGATCTCTTTCAACAAACAGTATTATAAAACATTAATGACGCCTATGTAGAACATTCTAGTTATATAACTGAGTATACATCACTGACTAAAAACAATTTTTATTGAAATAAAAATACATAAATAAGAACCTCATGCAGAGTACATAATAACATTGAGATTAGTCAAATTCCAAAGGACTACTGCTAAATCTTATAAAGTTTCACAAGTTTTAACTAAGGAATAGAGAATCATCTATCTAAGACAAGATTTGAATGCCAATGATTAAGACACGATTTTCGCAACTGTGAATGGAGTTTTTTCCATCATTAATGAAAAATTTCATACATGTATATTCTTGCATAAATCAGTTCTTATTATAAAAAACCTTTGTTATTTAATAAACCATTGTAAATTACGAATACGTGGCAAACATCAATTGCACGCAATTATATTTACTTATGATCAATAAAGACACTGTAGATACAACAGTAAAGGTTGCAATGAAAGTAAACCTTAAAACAGTTAAACATGATCTAAACTATAATTCTAAAAGCTCACTTTGTTGCATGAATCAACATTTCCCAAAAATAGATTCGGTTGCGTTCTTTCTCTGTGTAAATACATTCTTCCTGTTTTAAGTTTTCTTACTTATAAAAGAAATGGTTTGTTGTATACAACTATGAACATTTTGCTAGACACACAGAGATTAGTCAAAAGTGCCGTCAGCAAAGAAGGGAGGTGATGCATAATTGAACATGTGCCCACCCTACATAAATTTTACAAAATCCCTTTTTTCATAGACAAGTATAGTTTATAGAAAATTCAGCGTGCTACATGTAGGAAATGTTCTCATATTATTCTGCCTCCCCATACTTTTGAACAGACTTTACTGTCCTTTACCATGCAGCTTATTGTCAATAGTTAGAAAGTTGGTGTATCAATTTAGATATGATTTCTCGTGCATGTTTAGTCATACTTTATCGAGATGCTTCAGTAGCAAAGTTGTTATGTAAAGTTAGTAATATAGTTTCAGAATCTCACTTTACTTTCGAAAAGGCACCTACGTTTTAGAAATAAGACTTCATACTTGACGACCGTGTAGACAAAATTATGCTTGCTTTAGTTCTTTACATGTCACATATTTTACAAAGATAAGAGATTTAATATAAATAACGCGGCCACATACATATCAGTTTGGTGATGATAATTCATACCTTATTGTTACATCAATCTTTTATCCATGTGAGTTTTGTTACATAAACACATTTAAATAACGAACGAAGATGAAGAGTGAGTCAGGATCTCTTTCAACAAACAGTATTATAAAACATTAATGACGCCTATGTAGAACATTCTAGTTATATAACTGAGTATACATCACTGACTAAAAACAATTTTTATTGAAATAAAAATACATAAATAAGAACCTCATGCAGAGTACATAATAACATTGAGATTAGTCAAATTCCAAAGGACTACTGCTAAATCTTATAAAGTTTCACAAGTTTTAACTAAGGAATAGAGAATCATCTATCTAAGACAAGATTTGAATGCCAATGATTAAGGCACGATTTTTGCAACTGTGAATGGAGTTTTTTCCATCATTGATGAAAAATTTCATACATGTATATTCTTGCATAAATCAGTTCTTATTATAAAAAACCTTTGTTATTTAATAAACCATTGTAAATTACGAATACGTGGCAAACATCAATTGCACGCAATTATATTTACTTATGATCAATAAAGACACTGTAGACACAACAGTAAAGGTTGCAATGAAAGTAAACCTTAAAACTGTTAAACATGATCTAAACTATAATTCTAAAAGCTCACTTTGTTGCATGAATCAACATTTCCCAAAAATAGATTCGGTTGCGTTCTTTCTCCTGTGTAAATACATTCTTCCTGTTTTTAACTTTTGCTTATTTTTCAAGTTTTCTTACTTATAAAAGAAATGGTTTGTTGTATACAACTATGAACATTTTGCTAGACTTACAGAGATTAGTCAAAAGTGCCGTCAGCAAAGAAAGAAGGTGATGCATGATTGGTTATGTGCCGCACCCCGTACATTAATTTTTACAAAAATCACCCCTTTTTTCCATAGAAATGTATAGTTTACGAAGAAAAATTCTGCCTCCTACATGTAGGAAATGTTCTCATGTTATTCTGTCTCCCCCATACTTTTGAACAGATTTTACTGTCCATTACCATGCAGCTTATTGTCAATAGTTAGTAAGTTAGTGTATCAACTTAAATATGATTTCTTTTAAATGTTTAGTCATACATTATCGAGATGCTTCAGTAGCAAAGTTGTTATGTAAAGTTAGTAATATAGTTTCAGAATCTCGCTTTATTTTCGAAAAGGCACCTACGTTTTAGGAATAAGACTTCATACTTGACGACCGTGTAGACAAAATCATTTTTGCTTTAGTTCTTTACATGTCACATATTTTACAAAGATAAGAGATTTAATATAAAGAACGCGACCACATACATATCAGTTTGGTGATGATAATTCATACCTTATTGTTACATCAATCTTTTATCCATGTGAGTTTTGTTACATAAACACATTTAAATAACGAACGAAGATGAAGAGTGAGTCAGGATCTCTTTCAACAAACAGTATTATAAAACATTAATGACGCCTATGTAGAACATTCTAGTTATATAACTAAGTATACATCACTGACTAAAAACAATTTTTATAGAAACAAAAATACATAAATAAGAACCTCATGCAGAGTACATAATAACATTGAGATTAGTCAAAGGACTAGAATCAATGAGAATCATCTATCTAAGACAAGATTTGAATGTCAATGATTAAGACACGATTTTCGCAACTGTGAATGGAGTTTTTTCCATCATTAATGAAAAATTTCATACATGTATACTCTTGCATAAATCAGTTCTTAGTATAAAAAACCTTTGTTATTAAATAAACCATTGTAAATTACGAATACATGTCAAACATCAATTACACGCAATTATATTTACTTAGATACTCAATAAAGACACTGTGGATACAAGAGTAAAGGTTGCAATGAAAGTGAACCTTAAAACTGTTAAACATGATCTAAACTATAATTCTAAAAGCTCACTTTGTTGCATGAATCAACATTTTCCAAAAATAGATTCGGTTGCGTCTTTCTCTGTGTAAACACATTCTTCCTGTGTTTAAAATTTGCTTATATTACAAATGTTCTTATTTTTAAAATGAAGGGTTTGCTTAATACAATTAACAGCATTTTGTTAGACTCACAGCGATTAGTCAAAAGTGTTGTGAGCAAAATATAGAGGTGATGCATGATTGGGCATGCTATCCCCCCTACATAAATTTTCACAGATTCCTATTTTTTCCATAGACAAGTATGCTATTTCACCTCTCCCATACCTTTGAACAGGTTATGCTTTCCTTTACCATGCAGCTTATTGTCAATAGTTAGAAAGTTGGTATATCAATTTAGACATGATTTCTCATGCATGTTTAGTCATACTTAATCGATATGCTGCTTTAGCTAATTTGTTATGTCATTAGTGTAGTTCTAAAATATGGCTTAATTTTTCTAAAATTACTTTCTTTCAAAAGTAAGACGACCGTGTGAACAAAATTATCCTTGCTTTAGTTCTTTACATGTCACATACTCAACAAACGGATGAGAGATTTAATATAAACAACGCCACCACAATATTATAAAACATTAATGACATCTCTTTAGAACATTCAAGGTCTATAGTTAGGTGTACATCACTGACTAAAAATAATTGTTATTGAAATAAAAATACATAAATAAGAGCCTCATGCAGAGTACATAATAACATTGAAATGAGTCAAATTCCAAAGGACTACTGCTAAATAATATAAAGTTTAACAAGCTTTAACTCAGGAATAAAGAATCATCTTTCTAAAATAAGATTTGAATGTGAATGATTAAGACAAGATTTTTGAAAGTTTAAATCGATTTTTTCACTTCACTAATCAAAAATTCCATACATGTATATTATTGCAAAAGTCAGTTTATATTATAAAAAGACCTTTGTTATTGAATAACCCATTGTAAATTATCAACACATTTTAATTATCAACTGCACGCAATTGTAAATACTTATGATCAATAAAAAAACACTATACATATAACAGTAAAGGATGCAATGAAAGTAAACCTTAACACTGTTAAACTAATATATGATCAAAAGTATAATTTTGAAAGCTCTGTGTTGCATGAATCAACATTTCACAAAAACAAGATTCGGTCTCGTTCTCCCTCTGTGTGTAAATACATTCTTCCTGTGTTTAACTTTTGCTTGTTTTTTAAATTTTATTATTTCTAAAAGAAATGGCTTGTTGTATACAACTATCAACATTTTGTTAGACACACAGAGTTTAGTCAAAAGTGGCGTCGGAAAAGAAGGGAGGTGATGCATGATTGGACATGATATTCCCCTTAAATAAATTTTCACAGATTGCCATTTTTTCCATAGACAAGTATGCTATTTCACCTCTCCCATACTTTTGAAAAGGTTTTGCTTTCCTTTACCATGCAGCTTATTGTCAATAGTTAGAAAGCTGGTATATAAATTTAGATATGATTTCTCATGCATGTTTAGTCATACATTATCGAGATTCTTCAATAGCGAAATTGTTATGTAAAGTTAGTAATATAGTTTCAGAAACTCGCTTTACTTTCGACAAATTACCTACGTTTTAGAAATAAGACTTCATATATGACGACCGTGTGAACAAAATTATGCTTGCTTTACTTCTTTACATGTCACATACTTAACAAACGGATGAGAGATTTAATAAAAACAACGTGACCACATATATTAGTTAAAAATGGTGATCATAGTTCATGCCTTATAGTAACATCAATCTTTTATCCATGCACGTTTTAATACATAAACACATTTAAATAACGAAGATGAAGAGTGAGTCAGGATCTATTTCAACAAACGGTATTATAAAACATTAATGACATCTATGTAGAACATCTATGTAGAGACAGTTAATATCAACATTCCTCACGACTCTACTCTGACCTGGACGATTTACATCTACAAACACGTAATTACCGTCAATGACGTCATGTGATATTTGGTTTAACAGAATTTTGTTAGTTGTAATACAGTATTGACCATGAACTAACCATACAGCATTGACCATGAACTAACCATACAGCATTGACCATGAACTAACCATACAGAATTGACCATGAACTAACCATACAGCATTGACCATGAACTAACCATACAGCATTGACCATGAACTAACCATACAGAATTGACCATGAACTAACCATACAGCATTCACCATGAACTAACCATACAGCGATGTACTCATAGTTTAGTCTGATAAATTTTGTGATTTGTTAACATTTTATTTTTTACTTTAGTGATGTTCAATAAGTGAAATTGGACAAAAGAATTTAAAACCTTTTGATTTTCCCATTTTATCATACGTTTTTTAGAATTTGGAATCTCTGTTCATGGATTTTGATATAAGAATTCAATGAAACATTTTTTACTAGCGTTGATTTATCTCAGCAAATAACTTTAGGAAATTACTGCATGTGTCATGTTTTTCATACATTCGTTTGCCGAGGTATTATGGTGGGCACTGGGGGTGTCATTTGCGACGCTCAGTGTAAAGTCTCTCATCCCCACCCACCCCCAACGTTCCCCCTCTCTTTGTGACGTCCTGCCATTTGCCTCAAATATTTCATTTACATAATTTCCGTTGCCTATATTGGTAAATTTCCTTGTTTTGTCTTCTTTTGTGAACTGCTTCAATAATACTGTCGTGTATCGTGGATATTTTTTACATGTAGAAAACACTTTGTATTTTCTCATAACTTTCTTGATGCTAGCATGGGTGGTGAGAGTTGATATGTGGTGATATCAAGCGATCATAAGGTACTCGTATATACATACTTTGTTAATATCTAATTATTTTTAATTATTTTTCTAATTGTCCGACAAATAAAACTATTTTTTTTACATGTTAGTTCAGTGGAGATTATGTTGAACTTGGCAAGTGTAGATATTACAAAGCAAGCAATTATTGATCGCTTGTTGGATGGAGTAAAGCAAGTTAGTTTTAAAATATTTGTACGTAGTTTAAAGTTCGAACTTGGAACTTGTAATTTCGTTTCGTCTTTTATTGTATTGATTTTACTCGAATGATTTGGTCGACTTGAACCTCGTCGTTTCTTTAGTGTCAGGTACGATTTGGTAGTACAACCGAATTGGCTTCTGAGAAGGATAGCAGGTGAACTTGATATTTCTTCGATTGCATTGTATTGTATTCATTTTATTTCATAGTATAATCCTTATTTATCATAATCTTTGTATTTATGATTAATTACAGAATCTCTTGTCTTCGTGAGCAATGGAACATTGTTCTTCAATTTGGCATTAAATCCACAAAAAAGATAAATTCTTTAAGGTATCTTCATCATCCCTCTCTCAATTCAGTCAATTTAAAAGCCATTCTTAAATAATTTGTTTTCATAATTACTATGTTCATCAAAGGCAGGTGTTAATGAGATCTGAAGGTCAATCTGTGTTCTGGCTATTTATCAAGGAACATCTTAGCTCTAGTGAAATAAAGACATATAATTCTTTACATAATGTAATGACAGATGTTGGTAGAGGTTGGTCAAGTTTTTGGTTTCTAAATGATTCTAGGAATGTTTGTGGGTAAAACCTTTTTGTATGCCATGAATTTGTTCTGACATTTTTCTTTCTATTTTTGATATTTATTTGACAGCTCAAGCATGGCTTAGGTCTAGTTTAAACGAGCAATCACTGGAGAAATATCTTCATAGCTTCATTGGGCATAAACAATTGCTTTTGTAAGTTTGATCTGCAACATTTAAGAAAGAAATATTGATCTTGGCTTGATAAGCTATATGATTATCATAACCAATGTATATTGTGATATAGTAATGGAGTTTTCTTTTCACAGTAAGCTGTTTATGTCAGAATAATTATACGATGTGTATTTGTTTTAATTTCAGTCAGTATTATGAGCAAGATGCATTATTATTGGATGATGAACGATCTAGTATGTTACCAATGATGGCTGCTGGTAAGAATAAACTTGTTTATATTTCTATAATGGATTTTTTATCATTCCTTGTTTCTTCTTTAAGGCTTAAGTTCAATTCTTTTTGCAATTGACATTGACAAAGCTGAGTTTAACTCTATTACTGTACAGGTATGCTGGAATGCTATTGATATTGTTTAAAAATGAATCTTTGCAAATAGAAATGGATAGTAAAAAAGTGGAAGCTATGAATGTACTTTTCTTTAACTACTTGAATTTAATTTAATTTTTAGATTCCAGGCAATATCAGCCAAGCAGTTTCTCGTCCAACATCAATATGGGCTGTACCATCACCAATGTATGCAACGTCAGGAGCTCCTGGTGAAGTTTGTTAAATACAACATTTTAAGAAAATAAAGATTTGATCTGAATTTCATTTTTCTCTCCTGATCAAAAATATCCCTTTTATCCCTAATTATCCCTACCATTCATCTCATATATTGCTAATCTTATCATTCCTTAACCACACATGTCATTTATTCCTTGTAATCCCCCAACCTTGCGTTCTCCTTAAACTTTATTATCCCATTATTACATGTCTTCATTTATCCCTTAACTATACCTGTTGTTTATTCATCCCTTATCATCCCTTAACCGCGCGTCCTCATTTATTCTTTATCATACTTGAACAATGCGTAGTCATTTATCCTCGCGCGTCTTTATTAATTTTTAACTTTTATCTTTCTTTTGTGTTTCAGAAAAAGAAAAGAAAAAACGTAAAAAAAAGAAAGCAAACATTGCTCAAATTGAAAATGTTGAATTCAAAGAGACGGAAGAAGGAACTTCTACTGTCAGTTCTCTTGGTAGTTCTTCCACGACAACGACTGCTCACGATAGTGCCACGAGTTTTACCCGAGCGGCATACGACATATTACAACGTAATACTGATTCTCAGGTACATGCTCGTGGTAACCATTCTTTCACTAAAAGGCCTGACGATTTTCTTGAAATGCCAAAGAACTCTCAGTTGGCTTATTGTTCGAATTCTGAGAATTCAAGTCTTTCTTCCACAATGGCGAAAACCAACGTTGAGAACAAGGAGAATGAAACAGATGAACAAGTGGTTCGATTAACAAAGAAAAGCCAGGAAGTTCTGCATCTTAAAAACGAGTTTAAAACTGCGAATGATTTGAAAAAAAATCATTCTTTGACAACATCCTTGCAATCAGGGCATTACACTGACTCATCGCTCTTGTCGGAGGAAGAAGTGTGTGAGCCTCTTGTTGATATGAACAGCGGTGTATCTCTAATTCCCGTAGTTTGCCCCGATGACGATAAAGGAGTTAGGAGTCTAGCTATGTCAGATGAAAATGAGCGATTTACTGTTGCACCTGAGACGTCGCGACATTTAGTTCATTCAATAAATGATTCTCCCGTTTCAAGGTTAGAAGATACTTCATTATTTTATCGACAAGAATGTCTAACGAGTTCACCATTTTAACTGAGGTGGTAATTTATGTTGTTTTCAGTATTTACACTGATGAAGACGTCGAGAATGATGCAAGTTTAGCAATTGGGGCAACTGTTGCAGCGATATGTGCCACACGTGATGGTAGCATAGAAATTAATGATTACTCAGGATCGTCATTGGTCAGAACCATGGGTGATGGTTGTATGAATGTTAGTTAACTATGCTTTTATCTTTTTAGGGGAGGGTAGGGTAGAAAGCCATGTGTAAATATCTTTGTTATATTTAGTTCGTTATATTTGGTATGTTTTCGTTCTTTAGCCATCAGAGGGATATCCATCAGGCAAAGAAATGACTTCAGGTTTGTGTGTTTTTTCTATTCATGTATTTAAATGGTTTTTATTTCTTATATCTTTTGAAAAAATGTTTTGGGAATGGGAGAGGCACTTTTGCCTCAGGTTCTCAAACTATAAATGGGCTATTAGCGGGTAGAGTTAGTTTTATATATAGAAATATTTAGTGCAATTGGATTTTACTATTTGTATCGTATTTGCTTTGCTTGTTTGGAGACATCCGTCAAATTTCATCATGTGAACTGAATATTTGTATGTGTGAATAATTATAATTTCATGAATATCAATAAATACGTGGTTTTTTCTTCTTGAAGAGGAATTAAAACAGGCGATTGTATCGATGATGTTAAGAAAAGATGAAGTTGAAGAACGTAACAGGTTGTATTATCGTCCTTCGTTTAATATTAACATTCCATTCGAATATACACTATTTTGCCCTGATTTTTCCTTCTATCATCTTTCCTGTAGATCATTACAACAACATTTGGAAAAAGAGATGATGAAGTCAGCTTCTCTTCGTCTTCAATTAGAAGATTTAAAAAGAGATATGTCGTCGAAAAATGAAGAAAATTGCGTCGCTCTTAACGGCTTAAAAAGGTTAGGACATTGAGAACTCTGCATTTCCGTTAATCAAAGATGTCTGTTGACCTGTTCGTTTTTGCTCTTTAGTGAAAATGATTTGCTCAAACACCAACTAAAGAAATACGTGGGTGCTGTTCAATCGTTGAAAAGAAATGACATTATGGAAGAAGGTTTACTAGAGGGATAGTTTATCTTTAAAATAGATGTAGAAGTCTAAGATATTCGATAATCTTTTGTGTAGCTCCAGAAAATGAAAGACTTTCTTCTATCATTCTTTCTCCGGAATCTGACGTCGACGAAGTGAGGTATTTACCGTAAATTTGTAGCAAAAGTGAATCAACGGCGTTGAATTTCGTTCCTTTTTCTTGTAGAAAGGAAGAAAACAAAGATTTTGAGCGAAAGTTGATCCAAGTAAGATTTCCATTAAACCATAAAACTTTTACAAAACGAAACATTTGCCTTAAAAGGTTTTCATGTATCATATGTTGCATGAAGATGAGCCGAATTTTATTTGATAGAAAGCTCTTTTATACGATGCACACGATGACTTTAAGAAATATGTAATACAAGAAGATATTTTGACTTATGAAAACTGAGGATAAATAACTGAAATGAAATCGTGATATATGTTTAAAAAACTCGCCATTCTGAGTGATTTCGCTTTTCTTGTTCATGTCTGGGGAATTTCATGGTGATGACGTCATGGCGTAAGTTGTGATGAAATGTTGTTTATCATGTTTAAAGGTCGCTGATATGCATGGCGAACTTATTGAACTCAATGAAAGACTACAAAAAATGTTGAACGCTTGTGAATGTCAGCTAAGAATATTAAAAGAAGAGCTTGTCAATCTTAGAGGACCGGTATGTTCAGTAAAGACCCGTGTGTTCATTATAGTACAATAGATGTACAATATTGATCGGTATGTACAATATGAACTGTTTGGTATGAATATGAAAAGCAGTAAATATTCTTTTGATTTTCTAAGTCTTTCTTAATAAAACTACGTATCTTCGTATGTTCTAGCTTCCTCAGGACAATAATCATGATGAATGTTTATATTTGACGGAGTTTGGTCCAAATTTCATGTCTGTCAATACTCGTCCTTTAATTAACATTTGGATTCCATCTGTTTTTGTACAAGGAAAGTCTCCAAACATTCACCATTCATATCAGGTATAATTTTTTCCATATATTTATCTCTAAAAAAAGTAAATAACTCTTCCGATGTGATGTTGATGGTTATCTGGACTAGATTAGGGATAACTAGGGACTACATTTCTAGATTTATGATCTATATTTAGTATTTTCCTCGTTTCAAATACATCACCCTTGAGAAAAGTGTTTGTGGTCATCGTATTTAAAAGATCATGTCGTAGTTTAAATTTACTGCTCAAATATTTCACTTTTCATATGTATATGTTTAGTGGTGTTGAGAAAAAATCACAAAACTACAGATTCATCCCGACAAGCCTGTTTCGTGACTGCTCACTCTTCAGGGATTTTCCTTTAATCACGAAACAGGCTTGTCGGGATTAATCTGTAATTTTGTGATTTTTCTCAACACCACTATATATTACGCTGCTCTCGGGCATCGAGCACTGTTTTATACGGAGAATCATCAAATATAAACTTCCTATATATATGTATATCATCTGCTCAGTGGTCCAGTTATTGTCTTCAATAAAGAATTTAACATTGTTTACTTCACAAGGTTTATATCCGTATCAAAGACGATGAATGGAATGTTTACAAAAGATACTCGGATTTTATGCCCTACATAAGAAGGTTTTAATAAACATCAGTATTTTAATTTTTTAATCATATTGTTTTGCCGTAATGTACAATCCCTTCCTTTTCCTTTTTATGCACAGACAAGCAAGCAGTTTAAACCTGTTGCACAATTCACGTTTCCCGCGAAGAAAATTATTGGAAATCGTGACGTCAATTTTGTGGAAACACGTCGAAAACAATTGGAAAATTACTTGAGAAAATTGATCAATTTTAGTCTGGGTGCTGTTCCAGAGTTAGGTGAAAATCCTTGCAAGAGTTCTTTGTTCAAATATTTTCCATTTTTCATGTGAGTAAACACGAGATCTTTTTCTTGTGAGTACACACGTGATCTTTTTCATGTGAGTAAACACGTGATCTTTTTCATGTGAGTAAACACGTGATCTTGTATGAGTGTAATTTATTGTTCAATATACAGAATATTAAACGATTTTTCAAACGCAAATCAAGCATGAATACATTTTAGAGGACAAATTAAAACGTTTGTTTTAAATTTGTCTGTTTCGCATTATTGATATTTTTTTAAGAAGATATTTTCCTGTTTGCACTGGCTTATGCAAACCTCGGAGACGTTTGTGAGAACTCTTGAGCATATGCAACACTCTAACTTCGGTTTTGGGCTTGCACTGATCTGCTCTCGAGTTCTCCCAAAGATCTCCTCGTTTTGCATAAGCCCGTGCAAACGCAGTAAAATCTTTTATTTCGTAATAATACAACACAAAGAACTCAAACTTTGGCTTGTTTTAAAAAGAAAATCAAAATGCTACTACCTATTATTTCATGAATAGTTTATCAATTTTTCTCTAAACTTTCAGCAAATATTTTACAGGCAAACTTCAACGGTATCATCTGTTTCAACGACGACAACGACAAAACAAACTGTTCCTTCTGCATATAATGGTTAAAAGGTAAAACTTGTAGGATGTCTGTCGAAAAAACAGAGCATAGAAATTGTATAAGTTATATAGTATATATATAACATATTGTATAGCTCAGTATATATAAATATAATATGTCTACAAAGTAGAAGAATTTCCTGATGCATCAACTTCAAGGACTCTTTATTGTATGTGTTGTATACAGATATAATTTGTCAGTATTTGCTACTATATAATAGTACATCATACTGGGTTTTAACAAGTTAAAACATAATATTTAACTTGAAATGAAAACAATCGTATATTAAATACATCACACGAAACGTACTATGCTATTAAATGTTGTGCTATCTCAGCACGATTTGATCAATTTACATATCCCGCGTCACCCGGCTCTTGCTGGCGAATGTTTATACGACTTGACACGTGACGAATTTTCATCAATACGTCATATGACGTTTTGGCGATCTTTCCCGCGCTATGTGTAAAGAGATTTCTTGCTGAAACAATCTTTATCGTAAGTATTGCGTAAAATATTTCATTTGTAAGTTTCAAACTATTACAGTGAGTAATATAACCTTTTTATTTCAGAAGAAGCGTAATGCATACAGTCGTTATTGTAAGCATTGTACAAAATTTCTAAGAATAGGATTTACTACTTCCTACATGTATGTATTGTAATATGAAGATGTCTTCAGCTAAACACGAAACGTTATTGTTGTAAAATTATACAAACATGAATATACATACCTTCTCATAATATTTTTCTATCCAGTTCATTCCTTTGATGTGTGCAAAACTAGTTTGTCAGCCTTCATTTACCATTGAAGACCTTTGTATAATTTCAATGTCTGTCACTATGCCAAGCCCACAGGTGCATGGAACATTGTTAGCTACGTTGATGCAAGCACAAAAGATTTTCCTTCATTGAAAATGTAATGCACTAGTGAGGTTAGCACAGTGATTGGGTTTCGAAATTTTACAGTAGTTTAATTTCCAAACGTCGTTTTTATGTACACCCTGTAGAATGCTAATTAAAATAGATGAAATGTTAATGCTAATAAATACAATAAGAAAATGAGATGAAGATAACAATCTAGAGGGTTTATCAAATCATTTTTGACATCAGTGGACCTTTAGAATTTGCATGATTCAGCTGTAGTTGTTCCCCAAGGAGACTTAAATGTTTGGGATTTGCTATTTGCTGTAGCTGAAGTATACGTTTTTATTTATATTGTATTAAATTGAATTTACCGCTCTATGGGGATTAATTACTTCAAAGTGATGAATCATGCAAATTCTAAATTTCACAATGTACAATTGACGACACACCTAGTAAATGACCAATCAGAACACAACACGTTTACAACACACCTAGTAAATGACCAATCAGAACACAACACGTTTACAACACACCTAGTCACTGAACAACCAGAATACAACACGTTCGTGAAACTTGGGCCATAGTCTAAGACTAAGAACGTGTCATTTGAACGTGAAAGTCTGTAGTTGCACGAAGAATAGTTAGCCGAAGTCAAAATTTTTCCACGGTGAAATATCTCTTGGAGTGCTTTGAAAAATATTCAGGTAAATGTGTTGTTTCAAGTTCTGTTGCATTGAGTAAACATTGAATTGGGACACTGCATGTGATGTTCATTAATGCAAAGTGCAGTGTGGCCTTCCCATAAAGTTTCCGTCTTAGTAACTCTTGTTTCCTCTATGCTCTATTTTAGACACGGACATTCTTCTCTTAAACGACAATTAGTCATCAAATGAGATTGAGAAACAACGAACAAATGTTGGTGTATTTACCATGATGGTGGACTCCACAATTAAAGAAAGTGGTTATTGTTCACAGCGGTTGAAGAGAATTGTGGCTGTTGTCGACCAGTTCCTCGACGCTCATCTAAACATAAGAACAAAATACAAATCTGTGATTTGGTTGAAATTCTTCTTCCCTTGAACTACATTACTAGTAAATAAAATGCTCAATGTAAGTATGTTATCAATGTTTTTCATTTATGGAAGTATAGTGTCAACTGACATTGGCTTCAATTGTCCTTTGTAGAAACCTTCTGATCAAGAATGGACAATATACGTACTTTAATGAAATCCTCTGAACAATGATCAAGAATGAACAGCATACTTTAATGAAGTCCTCTGAAGAATTCTCAAGAATGAACAATTTACTTTCATAAAGACCTCTGAACGATGGTCAAGAATGGGCAGTGTATTTTTATGAAATCCTCGGAACAATGATCAAGAATGAACAGCATACTTTAACGAGTCCTCTGAAGAATGATCAAGAATGAACAATATACTTTGATGAGCTCTTCTGAACAATGATCAAGAATGGACAATATACTTTAATGAACTCTTCTAACAATGATCAAGAATGAACAATTTACTTTACGAAGACCTCTGAACAATGATCAAGAATGGCCAATGTACTTTGATGAGCTCTTCTGAACAATGATCAAGAATGAACAATATACTTTAATGAACTCTTCTGAACAATGATCAAGAATGAACAATATACTTTGATGAAATTGAAAAATACGTGACTTCTAATGCCCTAAAGACCATCTCTACATAGAATGCAAACGCTAAACACTCTTCTGGAGTAATGCAGCCATCAGCCTAACACCTGTTTCCATGGAAAAGTCAATATTATGACCTTTTCTAAAACATTTTCCTGGGAGTTTTCCTGCTAACATCACTACTGGTCAATCAATCGCAATGATGGAGAAAACCACGCCACTATCAAATGCCCAAATTTCAACATTACTTAATTGAAAATGTTTGTACTAAAAACATGGAATTTCTTTAACATGAAAATAAAAAACCTAAAAATCCTAATTTTCTGACTGGCTGTCGATATTTCCGATTTAATGCCGTAGACGACATGCACAGTTGCAAGAAATGGTCAATCTTGTTTCTGTGCTTGCCGTCGTCGACATAAAAGCGGGAATGTTTGTCAGGTAGCCTGAAAATTGGATACGATGGTTTCACCATCAACGTTCTGAATTCTTCAAAAAATTATTTTGGGCTTTTTTGTGGCTGACCTTGCTCATTATCCGATCGTTTCATCTTCACAATTGGCATAAGATTTGTCGTTCATCGTAGTCTGCCGTCGAACTGCCAAGGATTCGTCGAAAACCGTAAGTGTAATAATAATAAACCTTTTATTTAGTTAGGCCTGTTAACAGGTCAAATCTCTAATATAATTCGGGCAATAGCCACAACAAATCCTGGTGTTCAGTATATTCCACTGTAAGGCTATTTTTTTAATGCAGGAATGCAAATAAATATATTTAAAGAAATTTCTATCTGCATTTTCAAAAATAGTCTTGATTAAGAGGTAATAAAAGTGTTCTTTTGGTTAAAATAATCCAATAGTGTTTATCGGTGCTGCTTTAGTTATTTTTAAAATTTGTGTCTTAGTAAGCGTGAATTTGTATCAACTATTTCAAGTCTGTGACTGACATGCAACAATTGTGTTGTTCTATATAATTTACCTTCGAAAAACCTCTGTGTGAATATACTGCTTTAAGGAGCTACGCATGATCGCAGCGGTTGTTGCCTCGCAGAAGGATAGGCAGGACCATAGCTTAGAATCGGAAATGCAAGTGAAGTTTGGCCCAAGGAAGGCAACTTCAACTTGGGGTTAGTGGGTACAAATGGTACCTTAGCGTAGAGGATGCAAATAGCATCTGTAAGAAGACCTTTGAAGACTGGATCAAGCGAGCAAGGCCTATTGAAGACCAAGGGAAGATCGTGGTTTTGGTGGAAAGAAAAATATCTCTCCCCTAGTACGGTAAGAGCATGCAGTCGTTGTAGTTGTCCAATTTCATGAACGGCATTCTACATTGACTATTAAGGCACTCCTGCATGGATCCCCTATAATGCATGAGTAGTTCAACCCACCCCGGTTGGAGGTCGCCCGTAGGTGCAACATGCACTAGGTTAAGTTAAGTTAAGGGCATGATGGGTTACCTCCTTCAAGGGGCATTCCTTTTCAGGGCGGAATTCCGGTGCCATGCGCAGGTAAGAAGTTTAGATAGCTTAGGCATGCGCTGTAGTTGCAGCGAGTAGTTGCTACGCTTAGATAATGAGTATGAGGTTAGAACCTTTATAAATTTAAAGGATGAACTCAACTATCAAGAGAAATGACTAAATTTTTCAAAATCTTTCGAAGGAAACTTTAATCTTGTCAGTCATTTTCAAATCGACAAATTGAAACTCAAATAGTCTTCAGTTTGTCAAGACATTTACAGTTTAGGAGCGGCGTGGCAATTACTGTAAATATAAAAATGGATATGTTGTTTTCTTATTAAGAAAACTTCATTCCAGGGAATTTCGATGCGGCAAGCCACAGCAAAAACAGGCCTAAAAAAATGTTTATTACACCAGGTCTAAGTATGCGGAATGGCTTCATATTAACCAAACTAACACGAAACATAGTTTTAATAAAAGCACATTGTTTGTTTTCTTTGATGGTTACCATGAAGACAAACCGCAGACGTTGTCACATATGATACAAAATAGTTACAGGATGGTTTCCATGTTCACCATTCGCGTTGCTATCTAGTCATCTATGTGATAATTGTCAAACTAAAACATAACTTAAATCAAGCGCTGCCGGTTGTTTGGTTTAACCATCCACGGTCCCTCAGTAACCAAACTCAACTTGTGCTTCTTCAAGTGTTCTAAATCGTTTCAAAAAAATGTTAAATTTCGTCTGTCTGCTTAAAATATTTTGAAATACATTTATCCAATCCATGTCATGCAGCAAGCGCTTGCTCCAACTTTAAGCGTTAGTGGCACCGGGAGCGCAAAGCACTGAATGAAACAGTGCAAAATAGGGACTGCTAAGGTGGCGCTAGGTGCGACTGATTCGGATGTGGATTAGATAAGAAAAACACACGTTAAAAGACATTCCCATCCAAATTACAGGAATATTGGCTGCAGCATGGTGGTGGGGTGGTATGTATGGTATGAAAGGTGTACCCCTTGGAAATTATAGGAACCTGGAATATGGTCATAGGCTTATGGAACTGGGTAAAAAATTACTGAATGCATCAAAGAATATGACCAACTAACAGGATAGTATTTATTTAACAAAATTCTGTCATTCCAATATACTTTAGTATGTTTGTAAATCATACAATAAAATTACTACTTGGTTATAACATAAAAGCAAATTACTTTAGAAATAAAGTCTAAAGAAGAATGTCAGATTCAGGACATGGACAGTTCTAAGTTCTACTTAGGATGATTCCTGGCTGTAGAGTAAGGTTATTGACTAGATATCAGTAAAACTATAAATAGACAATTACCATTACATCTTTAGGTTCATTTTATCTCACAAAATGCAAATTGCAAACGTTTTATTCACTACCAAAAATACCTTCTGAGGGAGCTGACTTGGCAGGTGGAAGCCTTGCTCCTACGGTCTATGGGTTAAAATAGGCTTAACATAATTTAGAAGTTACAATTTTCTTTGAAACACGTAGCTACCAAAGTGTAACTGTAAAGCTTTGTCATATTCCAGAGTTTCATAATACAACACACCCAGATTTTCTAAAAGACTTAACGACATCAACCTCACTAGTCCCTAACGATTGTTTTCGAATTTCCAGAGCTTTTTCAAGAAACTCTATAGCTTTGTCGTAGTTTCCAGTTTCATTATACACATTACCAAGATTGTTTAAAGACGCAGCGACATCAACATGATTTGGACCTAGCAATTGTTTTTAATATCCAGAGCTTTTCGTGAAGCTCTATAGCTTTGTCGTAGTTTCCAGTTATAATATACACATTATCAAGATTGTTTAAGGACGCAGCGACATCAACATGATTTGGACCTAACCATTGTTTTCGAATTTCCATAGCTTTTTCGTAAAACTCTGTAGCTTTGTCGTAGTTTCCATTTTTTTTAAACAACAAACCAAGATTGTTTAAAGACGCAGCAACATCAACATGATTTGGACCTAACGATTGTTTTGAATTTCCAGAGCTTTACATGAAATTCTATCGCTTTGTTGTTGTTTCCAGTATCATTATACACATTACCAAGACTGTTTAAAGACGTAGTGACACCAACATGATTTGGACCTAACGATTGTTTTAATTTCCAGAGCTTTTCGTGAAGCTCTATACCTTTGTCGTAGTTTCCAGTTATAATATACACATTACTAAGGTTGTTTAAAGACGCAGCGACATCAACATGATTTGGATCTAACGATTGTTTTCGAATTTCCAGAGCTTTTTATTAAAATCTATAGCTTTGTCGTAGTTTTCAGTTTTAAACAATAAACCAAAATTGTTTAAAGACGCAGCAATATCAACATAAATTGGACCTAACGATTGTTTTAAATTTCGAGAGCTTTTCATGAAACTCTATAGCTTTGTCGTAGTTTCCAGTTTCAACATTACCAAGATTGTTTAAAGACCAGCGACATCAACATGATTTGGACCTAACGATTGTTTTGAATTTCCAGAGCTTTTTCGTAAACTCTATAGCTTTGTCGTAGTTTCCAGTTATAATATACACATTACCAAGATTGTTTAAAGACGCAGCAACATCAACATGATTTGGACCTAACGATTGTTTTCGAATTTCCAGAGCTTTTTCATGAAACTCTATAGCTTTGTCGTAGTTTCCAGTAATACACACCAAGATTGTTTAAAGACGTAGCGACATCAACATGATTTGGACCTAACGATTGTTTTCGAATTTCCAGAGCTTTTCATGAAACTCTATAGCTTTGTCGTAGTTTCCAGTAAACACATACCAAGATTGTTTAAAGACGCAGCGACATCAACATGATTTGGACCTAACGATTGTTTTGAATTTCCAGAGCTTTTCATGAAACTCTATAGCTTTGTCGTAGTTTGTTCATCAAACACATTACCAAGATTGTTTAAAGACCAGCGACATCAACATGATTTGGACCTAACGATTGTTTTGAATTTCCAGAGCTTTTCGTGAAACTCTATAGCTTTGTCGTAGTTTCCAGTTATATATACACATTACCAAGATTGTTTAAAGACGCAGCGACATCAACATGATTTGGACCTAACGATTGTTTTCGAATTTCCAGAGCTTTTCGTAAAATCTATAGCTTTGTCGTAGTTTCCAGTTTTTAAACAATAAACCAAGATTGTTTAAAGACGCAGCAACATCAACATGATTTGGACCTAACGATTGTTTTGAATTTCCAGAGCTTTTCATGAAACTCTATAGCTTTGTCGTAGTTTCCAGTTTTATAAAACACATTACCAAGATTGTTTAAAGACATAGCGACATCAACATGATTTGGACCTAACGATTGTTTTTGAATTTCCAGAGCTTTTTCATGAAACTCTATAGCTTTGTCGTAGTTTCCAGTATTAATATACACATTACCAAGATTGTTTAAAGACGCAGCGACATCAACATGATTTGGACCTAACGATTGTTTTCGAATTTCCAGAGCGTTTTCGTGACAATCTTTAGCTTTGTCGTAGTTTCCAGTTTCTATACACACCAAGATTGTTTAAAGACGTAGCGACATCAACATGATTTGGACCTAACGATTGTTTTCGAATTTCCAGAGCTTTTCATGAAACTCTATAGCTTTGTCGTAGTTTCCAGTATCATAAACACCATACCAAGATTGTTTAAAGACGCAGCGACATCAACATGATTTGGACCTAACGATTGTTTTGAATTTCCAGAGCTTTTCGTGAAACTCTATAGCTTTGTCGTAGTTTCCAGTTTCATCAAACACCTACCAAGATTGTTTAAAGACATAGCGACATCAACATGATTTGGACCTAACGATTGTTTTTGAATTTCCAGAGCTTTTCGTAAAACTCTATAGCTTTGTCGTAGTTTCCAGTTTCATTATACACATTACCAAGATTGTTTAAAGACCAGCGACATCAACATGATTTGGACCTAACGATTGTTTTCGAATTTCCAGAGCTTTTCGTAAAACTCTATAGCTTTGTCGTAGTTTCCAGTTTTTTTAAACAACAAACCAAGATTGTTTAAAGACGCAGCAACATCAACATGATTTGGACCTAACGATTGTTTTTGAATTTCCAGAGCTTTTTCATGAAACTCTATAGCTTTGTCGTAGTTTCCAGTATCATTATACACAGTACCAAGATTGTTTAAAGACGTAGCGACATCAACATGATTTGGACCTAACGATTGTTTTTTAATTTCCAGAGCTTTTCGTGAAACTCTATAGCTTTGTCGTAGTTTCCAGTTATAATATACACATTACCAAGATTGTTTAAAGACGCAGCGACATCAACATGATTTGGACCTAACGATTGTTTTCGAATTTCCAGAGCTTTTTTAAAACTCTATAGCTTTGTCGTAGTTTTCAGTTTTTTTAAACAATAAACCAAGATTGTTTAAAGACGCAGCAACATCAACATGATTTGGACCTAACGATTGTTTTTTAATTTCCAGAGCTTTTTCATGAAACTCTATAGCTTTGTCGTAGTTTCCAGTTATAAAACACAATACCAAGATTGTTTAAAGACGCAGCGACATCAACATGATTTGGACCTAACGATTGTTTTTAATTTCCAGAGCTTTTTCGTGAAACTCTATAGCTTTGTCGTAGTTTCCAGTTATGATATACACATTACCAAGATTGTTTAAATACGCAGCAACATCAACATGATTTGGACCTAACGATTGTTTTCGAATTTCCAGAGCTTTTTCGTAAAACTCTATAGCTTTGTCGTAGTTTCCAGTTCTATACACACTACCAAGATTGTTTAAAGACATAGCGACATCAACATGATTTGGACCTAACGATTGTTTTCGAATTTCCAGAGCTTTTTCATGAAACTCTATAGCTTTGTCGTAGTTTCCAGTTTCATAAAACACATTACCAAGATTGTTTAAAGACGTAGCGACATCAACATGATTTGGACCTAACGATTGTTTTCGAATTTCCAGAGCTTTTTCATGAAACTCTATAGCTTTGTCGTAGTTTCCAGTTTCATAAACACATTACCAAGATTGTTTAAAGACCTAGCGACATCAACATGATTTGGACCTAACGATTGTTTTGAATTTCCAGAGCTTTTCATAAACTCTATAGCTTTGTCGTAGTTTCCAGTTATAATATACACAATACCAAGATTGTTTAAAGACGCAGCAACATCAACATGATTTGGACCTAACGATTGTTTTCGAATTTCCAGAGCTTTTTGAAACTCTATAGCTTTGTCGTAGTTTCCAGTTTCTATACACACTACCAAGATTGTTTAAAGACGTAGCGACATCAACATGATTTGGACCTAACGATTGTTTTCGAATTTCCAGAGCTTTTCATGAAACTCTATAGCTTTGTCGTAGTTTCCAGTATCTTTATACACATTACCAAGATTGTTTAAAGACCCAGCGACAGCAACATGATTTGGACCTAACGATTGTTTTGAATTTCCAGAGCTTTTCGTTAAACTCTATAGCTTTGTCGTAGTTTCCAGTTTCATAAAACACATTACCAAGATTGTTTAAAGACCTAGCGACAGCAACATGATTTGGACCTAACGATTGTTTTTGAATTTCCAGAGCTTTTTCATAATACTCTATACCTTTGTCGTAGTTTCCAGTTTCATTATACACATTACCAAGATTGTTTAAAGACGCAGCAACATCAACATGATTTGGACCTAACGATTGTTTTCGAATTTCCAGAGCTTTTTCATGAAACTCTATAGCTTTGTCGTAGTTTCCAGTTTCATAAAACACATTACCAAGATTGTTTAAAGACGCAGCGACATCAACATGATTTGGACCTAACGATTGTTTTCGAATTTCCAGAGCTTTTTCATGAAACTCTATAGCTTTGTCGTAGTTTCCAGTTTCATAAAACACATTACCAAGATTGTTTAAAGACGTAGCGACATCAACATGATTTGGACCTAACGATTGTTTTCGAATTTCCAGAGCTTTTCATGAAACTCTATAGCTTTGTCGTAGTTTCCAGTTTCATAAAACACATTACCAAGATTGTTTAAAGACCTAGCGACATCAACATGATTTGGACCTAACGATTGTTTTTGAATTTCCAGAGCTTTTCATAATACTCTATAGCTTTGTCGTAGTTTCCAGTTATAATATACACATTACCAAGATTGTTTAAAGACGCAGCAACATCAACATGATTTGGACCTAACGATTGTTTTCGAATTTCCAGAGCTTTTCGTGAAACTCTATAGCTTTGTCGTAGTTTCCAGTTTCTATACACACTACCAAGATTGTTTAAAGACGTAGCGACATCAACATGATTTGGACCTAACGATTGTTTTCGAATTTCCAGAGCTTTTTCATGAAACTCTATAGCTTTGTCGTAGTTTCCAGTATCACTAAACACCATACCAAGATTGTTTAAAGACGCAGCGACATAAACATGATTTGGACCTAACGATTGTTTTGAATTTCCAGAGCTTTTCATGAAACTCTATAGCTTTGTCGTAGTTTCCAGTTTCCTCAAACACCGCACCAAGATTGTTTAAAGACATAGCGACATCAACATGATTTGGACCTAACGATTGTTTTGAATTTCCAGAGCTTTTTCGTAAACTCTATAGCTTTGTCGTAGTTTCCAGTTTCATTATACACATTACCAAGATTGTTTAAAGACCCAGCGACATCAACATGATTTGGACCTAACGATTGTTTTCGAATTTCCAGAGCTTTTTCGTGATGGTTTTTAGCTTTGCTATAATTCCCAGTGTCATGGTATAAAAGACCAAGGATATTAAAATACCAAGGTTTGTCATAACTAGATTTAAATTTATCCAATAGTTCAAGAGCAAGATCGTATTTTCCAAAATGTCTTAATCTGTCAACAAAATATTGGAAAACTTGTAAAGTATTCATGTTGATTTTTGTCTTGTTGGTCTTTAATAATTGAACAATTTTTTCAAGATGTGGCATTAATTTGATTTCGTCGTCTCTCTCTTTAAACATGTAAAGTGCTTCAGATATTTGATCAACATTAGCTTCCATTTCATGTTCTTCATTTGAATGTTCAGATTGATAATCAATAATTGCTTTGTGAACAATACGATGTAGACTAATGTCATTATTTTCTGAATGCAAGAACAATGAGCATTCGTCTAAACAAAGACATATATCTTCCTCAGCTTGTTTGGGATCATTTTGTTGAACATAATAAACCATAATGTCTCGTGGTAAAGGATCAAATGATATCATAGAAAAAAAAGCTAATAACCAGTGCTAATATTGAGGATTCTTCTGCACTTTGTTTGACAGCTAAAAGTGAAGCTTGTAACATACTTCTAGGATATACCGAGTTGAATTTAACAAAAGTGGCGCTCATGTTTTCTTCTTCTTCTAAAGATATTTTCTTTAAATATTCTTTCCAAGTAAATGAACAGTTTGCTTTGTTTACACGACTGACATAATAACCAGTAGCAGCCAAAGACAGCGGTTGACGATCTAAGGCGTGCGATACTTCATTCAACAATTGATCATCAGCATTTTCATCTTTAGTGTAAGAATTCAACAATTGACAACATTCTCTGTCATTCAATCCTTTACTGATAGAAATATGTTTGCTGGATAATTCATCGTAAGGTACGGCATCTGTATTCTGAACAGTTATTATTAGTTGTCCATTTTTCCACATATGATCACCTACTTGTGGTAGTAACGAAGAAATTTCGCTCAGTTGCACAACGTTGTCGACAATAATCAACCAATTTTGCCAGAATTTCAATCGAGCAGATACTAACGATCGAAGGTTCTTGACTTTCTCTTTGGCGGAAAAATTTTCATCTTTAAATTTTTCAACCATAAACTTGTTACAGTTTAAGCGGTATCCAAGGTCACAGTAAGATTGTAAAAGAGATGCCACATTCTTCCCATCGAGAGTCATTACAAACGAAGTTTTGTTTTTCCAATCACACGATATTTTTTCACAAACCTGTCTCGCCAGTTGAGATTTACCACTGCCAGGATTACCAGTGATGTAAAAATATGTCAGTTCGTTATTGTTATCATTCCTTAATTTTTTAAGATCGTTTATGATTTTATCTCGTAATTCGATGCGTTCAACGAGAAAATGTTTAGGTTTTGAAGGAAAAACTTGAAACGAATTAAAACTGTTACGATGATTTTTTATTTTATTGATTTCATCGAGAGAAAATTTCAAATCTTGAAATGATTTTTCAATGATATTGACTATTTTATCAAAATCATCATCTGAGTATTCACTTTCATACCAATGTGCGTCTTTGTTTCTTTCACCACGAAGTGCATGAACAGCATCTATTGTTTTTTTATTAAGATGTCTGCTAATCGATTTTGAAAAAAGTATAGCATCGAATAATGTTGTGCAGTCCCATTTACTTGTGTCTCCATCTTGATATTTTAACTTTAGTGTTTTATCCAACTTCCTACCCGATTCTAAAGTGCAAAATTTTTTACCACTCTTTATGGTATCGTCCCATTCTCCATGTGTTAATTTGTAACGAGAGTTCCATTCTTTGATGAAAAATTGAGCAAGTTCCGTTTGTACCACATTGATTATTTGCTGAATGTAAAGTAGATTTCTGCTTTCTCTTGATTCCATCTAAAAAAGAATATGATGTATCAAGAAGACAGTTAAAATCATCAATTTCAAAAGTTCGACCTGCATCATATATCACTCTTCGTTAAAGTCGAGGATATACATGATGAAATCAAACTTATTTATTCGTTTTTAAATTCAACTTCACCAAAAGCATGCTATTAATGCAAATTGAGACATAGACAACTACTAAATGGCAGATATAATGCTACAGCTTTTGCCAATTATAGCAGCTTTTCAACAAAATATTAAAAACAGCATGTGACTTGTTACAAGACAGACATTGCTATTGCTAGATTTTTATGTCTTTGGATCGTCAATGTCAAATATCGTTTGTAATGGTGAAAATCCAAGCTAGAAATGCTGGAGATACCTCTGTACTTGACGGTATTTCTATACATCAGTTGATTGTTACGTGACACGTAACAAATCACACTTTAACTTATATACCTTAACTGACATGTGTTGCATTCAAAATTAGACTATTTAATTTAACTTGTTTTGTAGGAATTAAAGCAGCAAAGAAAAAGCGCCCATCTCAAAACACAAATATGCCTATATGTCAGGTGAATGTTGATCAAAGTGGACTTAGTAAAGAAAAAAGCGGTATGGTGTAATAAGTGAGAAGGGAAACAGTTCCTTCAGCAAAAAGTGGAAAGACTTGCTTCTAGAGATAATTTACAATATTAAATGAGCCTTGTCTTGAACTGACTAATGCTACGAATTTATTTTACATATCCTTGTTACTAGCACATGTTGGAAAATGAACCTTAGGAGTGGACAAAGCCGTATATACTTCCATCGTAATACCGGAAGTCATTGCGTAGTTGCCGGACCCTTTTAATTGACAATAACAAGACGTTCGATTTAACAGAATGGTCAATGAAAAATGCGTTGAACGCAATTCTTAAAGAGTTGGAGTTTCGAGAAGCTCACACACCGATCGGCGAGAAAACCAAGAGACAGGATGGGGAGAAACAACGAGAAACGTCGCGACAAAAACATATGGGGTCAGCATCGACACTGCACGCGAAGCATGAGAGTTGCAACGAGGTGTCAATAAACGGTAAAGCGAAAAGAAAATGCGTTTATTGTCTCGGGGAACACAATCCAGAGGAATGTAAGAAAATAACCAAGGTAACTGAGAAAAACAACTCATTCGTAAGTACGGAAGATGTTTTATTTGTTTGAAGAAAGGACATGTCAGTAAGAATTGTAATAGTAATGATAAATTTAATGCATGTGAGAAGGCACACCATAGGTCAATTTGTGAAGTCAATGGGATTCTTACAGGCGATGTTCAAACCAACCATTCTATTCTGGGATCACATTGTAGGGTAGCATTACAGACAGCACAGGCTTTCTTTAAGGGAGATAAGGGATGTGTTAGGGTCAGAGTGTTGTTTGATTCAAGAAGTCATTTGTGAATAGAAAGATTATACAGAGAGCAGGTACTCAGGCTAGTAGAAAAGAATGGATAGAAATCAAGTTGTTTGGTCAAGAGAAGGCTAAAGGTAAGTTGCGAGAAGTATTTTAATTAGAGTTGTCGTCAGTTATGGGGGGAGAGAGTGTAAGCATCGAGGCATACAGTGTAGACTGTATATCTCAAATTAGGAATGAACATGTAGAGTTGAGAAAGATGGATTATTCACATTTAAAGAGTCTGTGGTTTTCAGATGTTTGCAAGGATAAGGAAGTGCCGTGTGGTTGCCGGCTTAGAATTGCGCCAACGTATCCTCTGCGTGTCGTAAAAGACGACTAAAAGGGGTTGGTGTAAGGAAGGGCATCCTACCGTAAAACTTTTGCTCCAACAAAATTCATGGACTTTGGAAAAGAAGATATGGCCCCCAGTCCCCGGCAGCCCTTCAGTGGGCAGGGGGTGCGAAGAATCTCCGGATCGAATGGTTGTGGAAGTGTCACCCTTCGGGTAGGCACAGTGAACGTTGGGACAATGAAGGGAAGGAGTGCAGAAGTGGCGGACATGTTGAAGAGAAGGAAAGTTGATGTGTGTGGGTTTCAGGAGGTAAGGTTTAAAGGTGAAGGTACGAGAGTCATAAAGGGTGAAGATAATGGAGCGAGATTTAAGTGGTTTTGGAAGGGAAACGGAAGTGGCACGAATGGTGTTGGCTTTGCGATAAGAGAGGATTGGGCGAAGTCAGTTGTAGCAGTGAAGAGAGTTTCGGACAGAGTCCTGAGAGTTGATGTAGTTATTGAGGCCGAAGTTGTGAGTTTCGTTGTGGTGGTGCTCCGCAGGTTGGACGAAGTGCGGAGGAGAAGGAAAAGTTCTACGACAGCGTGTATGCAGTGAGAGCAGACATTAGAGGGCGATGTGTGATGCTTGGTGATTGGAACGGTCATGTGGGAAGCGTAAGAAAAGGATACTGTGCATGGAGGTTTTGGAGTTGGTGATATGAATGCTGAAGGCGAGACGATATTGGAGTTAGCAGCGAGTTGTGGGATGGTGGTAGTGAATACGTGGTTTATAAAGGAAGAAAAAGCATGACGTATGAATCTGGTGACAGTAGGACGGTGGTGGATTATATACTGGTGAATGAAGAAGAGAGGAAGGATGAAGTGATTGCAGGAGAAGAATGTGACCCAGCACAAGCTGAGTCATGGACTGGAGAATCAGGAAGGTGAAAAGGAGGGTTGGGTAAAGGCAAGAAGGAATCGAATGAAGGAAGCATCCGTGACGAAATTGCGACATTGAATGTTGGGTGAGACGGTGGAGGAGCGATGGACGGAGGAAGGGTGTTTTAAAGGCAGCGGAGAAGTTGTAGAAGTAAAGGCGGTGTAGTAGAAGAACAGGCATGGTGGTGGGATCAACGAGTCAGCGAAGTGATTGGCGCGAAGTTGGCATTTAAAAGGTGGAGAAAGTCGCGGACTGAAACAGATAGGATCGATTACATCCGATTCAAGAAAAAGGCGCGAAAGGAGGTGGCTAAAGCGAAAAGACATCAGAAAGAGCTTCTCGTAAAATGCAGGAGAATGGAAGAAAGCGTTGTTTAGAACAGCTAGAAAGAAGGAGAGGAACGATATTTTGGTGCTCCGGCGTGCAGAACCACGATGGGGAGTTGAAGGTGTTATTGGAAGACAGGTTAGAAGTGTGGAGGGCGTACTGTGACCGTTTGATGAATGTAGAGAATGAGTGGAATGGAGAAGTTGAAGCGGATGAAGTTTTTGGGCCGTGGGAAATAGTGACTGTTGATGAGGTGGCGGCGGCTCTGCGCAAGATGAAGAAAGGAAAGGCGACGGGACCGAGTGAAGTGGGTAGCGAAATGTTGGACAATGAACTATGCGTGAGAGAGTTGTGTAATGTAGCGAACGAGGTTTTGAGGGCTCAAAGATGCCGAGTACATGGAGAAAGAGTCTAGTGGTCCCGCTGTACAAAGGAAAGGAGCAGCAACGGTATGTGGGAATTACAGGACTATTAAGCTGATGGAGCATGCGTTGAAAATAGTAGAGAGAGTGTTTGAAAGAAGGTTGAGGGAAGTTCGGATGGGGGAAGAGCAGTATGGATTCATACCGGGGAGAGGAACGACGGATGCGTGTTTTGTGTTGAGGCAGCTGCAGGAGAATTTTGGAGAAGGACAGAGAATTGTATATGGTGTTTGTAGATTTGGAGAAGGCGTTTGATAGAGTTCCGAGAAAGGTGAGACGCGCTGCGTAAGAAAGGTGTGACAGAGAATATGGTTCAGGGAGACTTATGAAGGTGTAGAGGCGGTGGTTACGGAGGAAGGTGCTAGATCTGGTGTTTTGAGGTAAAGTTGGTGTTCATCAAGGTTCAGTCTTGTCGCCGTTACTGTTTGCTTGTGTGATGGATGTACTGACAGAGGAAGTGAGAAGAAAAGAAGGATGCTGGTGTTTGTTGTATGCAGATGACATTGTCTTGGTGGCGGAGTCGAAGCAGAAAGTTCTGGAATGGTACCGAGAATGGAAAACGGCAATAGAAGTCAAGGGACTGAAAGTGAATGAGGCAAAGACGAAGGGCATGAGATGCTCGAGGCAGGTGGAGGTGAAGGACAGTGATAAATGGCCATGTGTGTGTGTGTGGGAAAAGAGTTGGAGTGAATTGATAATGTGTGGGAAATGGTGGGGTTCATGGAAGATGTTCAGGTGTCCGTGGTGCATTGACAAGAGTAACTGATTTTGAGTGGATGTCGAAGTGGTGGGCGCGAAATGTGAACTTGAATGGTTTGGAGTTGGAATATATCAGAGTTTAAAAATGATGGTGGAGGGTGCGAGCAAGCGGTGAGGAACAGAGTTCAAGCAGCGTGGTGGAGTTTTAGAGAGTTGTCGGGAATGTTGTGCGGAAAGTCGACTTCGTTGAGGCAGAAGGGAGAATTGTATAAGGCATGTGTTAGAAGTGTTTTGGGATATGGAGCAGAGTGTTGGGCGCCGAAAGCAGAGGACCTGAGAAGATTGGCGTCGACGGAAAGGAGAATGCTTAGGATGATGTGGTGTAACGTTGATGGATAGGATTCGAAGTGAAGAGATTAGAGAAAGAGTTGGTGTTGAGTGTATCGAGAATTGGGTAAGACGCCAGCGTTTGAGGTGGTTTGGGCATGTGGAAAGGAGGGAAGAAAGTGCTGAAATTCGTAGAACGTTGCATATGAATGTTGATGGAGTCCGCAAACGAGGTAGACCGAGAAAGAGATGGATGGATGTTGTGAACAGTGATATGAAGGCGATGGTAAACGAGAGATATGGCGAGAGATAGAGATGTGTGGCGTGGAAAATTCATGGACCGGTCAACCCCTGGCGGGATTAATACTGGCCGGTATATAAATGTTGTTTGTTTGTTTGTTGGTGTTGCAAGGATAAGGAAGTTTTAGATATTAAAGTTTTGATTGGGGCAGATTATCATTGGTGGTTTCAGGAAAGCAATGTTGTTCGGGGACAGGTAGATGAACCAGTTGCTGTGTCTACTAAGTTAGGTTGGGTGTTGTCCGCCCCATGAAAGGGAGAAACGATTTAGATAACATGCACACTCAAGTAAACTTCATTGCGCATGAAAGATCAGAAAATTTAAGTTTAGATAAGAATGTCAATCATTTGTGGGATTTTGAAACTTTAGGAAGAGCAGAGGAAGATTATTTTCATGAATTGTTAAAGGATTCTATTGTGTTTAATGGCAACAGATACAGTGTCAAATTGCCTTGGAAAGAAGGACATAGTTTAGACTATACAAATTACAGCATAAACTTGAGAAGATTCACGGGTCAGTTACTACGGCTGAAAAGGTAACCAGAAATTTTAGAAGAGTATGATAAGACAATCAAAGATCAATTGAGGAAGGGTATTATAGAACCAGTGATAAAACTGGAGCAAGCTGATAAAATACATTATTTACAACATCATGCAGTTATTTGCAGAAAGCAAAACAACTAAGGTAAGAGTTGTTTATGATACATTGTGTAAAGAGTCACCCAAGGCTGCCTCACTCAATGACTGCTTGCATGTGGGACCCAAATCAGCACCATTGCTCTTTCATATTTGATAAAGTTTAGAGAGAAGAGAGTCGCTTTAGTGGCAGATATTGAAAAGGCATTTTTGAATACAGAAGTTGATACTTTGTACTGGGACTGCCTAAGATTTTTATGGGTTGATGATGTAAACAATGAGAGGGTGAAGCCTGTAGAATATTGATTTTGTAGAGTAGCGTTTGTGTTAACTGCTCTCTATTTTGTTGAATGCGACACTGCAGTATCATTTAGACACATTCATAGAGATGGAACAAGCACACTGTTAAAAAACTCAAAATTAGCTTTTATGTCCAGGATCTAGTGTCCGGTGAACAATCCAAGAAGAAAGGAATGAGGTTGTATGAGTCAGCAAGTGAACGATTGGCTGCAGGAGGATTTAGGCTTAGGAAGTGGCTAAGTAACGATGAGAATGTTTTGAAAGAAATAGAATAGAGAGAAAGAAGCATTTTGAGGAAAGAAGGGCAGAATTAAGTAATTCAAAAGTGGTTGATGAGCAAACTTATGCCAAAGCATCAGTTGGGGGAAATAGTATCAGTGGAAGTTTTGAGAAAGTACTAGGATTGGGATGGGAGTGTAAGTAGGATCACTTTGTATTTAGCCTCTGGAAATTGTGTGAAAGAGCAAAGGCTATCATACCAAGTAAATGAAATATACTAAGTATACTTGCAAGATTATTCGATCCATTAGTTATTATAAGTCCAGTTGTAGTTTGTGCTAAGTTATTGTTTCAGGAGCTGTGTATTGAGAAATCTGATTGGGATAATGAGCGAGAAGGTGACAAGAAAAAACGTTAGGAAAGGTGGATGGTGATTTAGAGAGAGTCAGGGACTTAGTTGTGGCGAGATGTGTGTATGGTAATTTACTTGGTAAGGTAAAGTGTTATTTGCATGGGTACGCAGATGCCAGCCAAAAGGCATACTGTGCACTCGTATATTTTGTGACAGAGCTAAACGGTGCCTACCACGTAGAGTTGCTTACGTCGAAAACAAGGATAGCGCCAATAAAATTGCAGACAACTCCCGGATTAGAAGTGATGTCAGTTGGAATATTAGCACAGTTGATGGACACAGTGAAGTTGGCTTTAGAAGGTTATGTTCAATTTAATGGTAAATACTATTGGTTGGACAGTATGACTGCATTGTGCTGGATCGGTAATTGGGGAGAATGGAAACAGTTTGTGCGCCATAGAGTTAACGAGATTTTAAGATTGAGCAGGAAGGATGACTGGAAACATTGGCGGGTGTAGAAAACCCAGCGGATTAGGTTCAAGGGGATTTACGGCATCACAATCAAAGGAAAGTGAACTTTAGTGGAAGGGTCCGAAGTGGTTGTCAAGTCCCAAGTGTGATTGGCCAATGCCAAAAGAGGTTAAAACAACAGACGAAAGTCTTGTGGAAGTCGGGAAGACAGTATTAGCTAACACACAGGCGGTAGATAAAGATTGTGTGATAAAATTTGCAAATTTAGTCAAATTAAAGTATACATCGCATTATTTTCCTTCTGTGTTTCAAGAACAATTTGTCTTGATTTAGTTGATAGTTTATGTGCACGCTGTTTATTGAATTGTATGCGAAGATTTACTCCTAGAATGGGAGCACCCTCCCTAATAGTTTAGGACAACGCCAAAACATTTAAAGCAACTGAGAAAGCGTTGAAGGGGATTTATGGAAGTAAGGAGGTAACATCTTGATTGGAAAGTAATCGGTTGATATGAAAGTTTAATTTGGCAAGGACACCTTGGTGGGGTGGATTTTTTGAGATAATGGTAGCATTGGTGAAATGCTGTCTGAGGAAGGTGTTGGGTAGCACTAAATTGAGCAAGAAAGAATTGTTAACAACATTAGTTGAGGCACAAGGTACGTTAAACTCTAGACCATTGACTTATGTATATGAATATGAAGTGAATGTAGATGTACTGACTCTTGCACATCTTATGTTTGGAAGAAGATTATTTCTTCCAGACGAAGGAATTCTTCATACTATTAATGACAAAGATGCAGGAGTGGTCAAGCGTAGGTTTAGGTATTTAGCAAGATTGAGAAAGCATTTTTGGTCCTGGTGGAGGAAGAAATACAGCGTCCTACATGTGGAAAATACAATCATGCTATTCTCCCAATACTTTTGAACAGGTTTTACTGTTTTCTTACCATGCAGCTTATGGTCAATAGTTAAAAAGTTGGTATATCAACTTAGACATGGTTTCTCAGGCATGTTTATCCATACTTCATCTATAGATGTTTCTTTAGCTAATTTGTTAAGTCCGTAATGTGGATATAAATCTCGCTTTACTTTTGTAAAATTACCTTTGTTTTAGAAGTAAGACTTCATATCTGACGATCTCGTCGTCCAAATTAAGCTTGCTTCAGTTCTTTACATGTCACATACCTAACAAAAAATGAGAGATTTAATATAAAGAACGCGACCAAATACATATCAGTTTGAAATTCCAAAGGACTACTTTAAATAATATAAAGTTAAACAAGTTTAAATTCAGGAATAAAGGATCATCTTTCTAAAATAGGATTTGAATGTGAATGATTAAGACACAATTTTTCAAACTTTAAATCGATTTTTTCACTTCGCTAATCAAAAATTCCATACATGTATATTATTGCAAAAGTCAGTTTATATTATAAAAAGACCTTTGTTATTGAATAATCCATCGTAAATTATCAATACATTTTAATTATCAACTGCATGCAATTGTAAATACTTATGATCAATAAAAATCACTATGCATATAACAGTGAAGGATGCAATGAAAGTAAACTTTAACACTGTTAAACTAAAATATGATCAAAAGTATAGTTTTGAAAGCTCTGTGTTGCATAAATCAACATTTTACAAAAAATAGATTCGGTCGCGTTCTTCCTCTGTGTGTAAATACATTCTTCCTGTGTTTAACTTTTGCTTGTTTTTCAAATTTCCTTACTTATAAAAAAAATGGCTTGTCGTATACAACTATGAACATTTTGCTAGAAACACAGAGATTAGTCAAAAGTGCCGTCAGCAAAAAAGGGAGGTGATGCATAATTGAACATGTGCCCACCCCGTACATAAATTTTTACAAAAATCCCCCTTTTTTCCACAGACAAGTATAGTTTATATAGAAAAATTCAGCGTTCTACATGTAGGAAATGTTCTCATGTTATTCTGCCTCCCCCATACTTTTGAACAGGTTTTACTGTCCTTTACCATGCAGCTTATTGTCAATAGTTAGAAAGTTGGTATATCAACTTAAATATGATTTCTCTTGAATGTTTAGTCATACATTATCGAGATGCTTCAGTTGCAAATCTGTTATGTAAAGTTAGTAATATTATTTCAGAATCTCGTTTTACTTTCGACAAATTATCTACGTTTTATAAATAAGACTTCATATATGACGACCTTGTAGACAAAATTATGCTTGCTTTACTTCTTTACATGTCACATACCTAACAAAAGATGAGAGATTTATTAAAAAGAACGCGACCACTTACATATCAGTTTAAAAATGGTGATAATAATTCATACCTTATTGTTAAATCAATCTTTTATCCATGTGAGTTTTGTTACATAAACACAGTTAAATAGCGAGCGAAGATGAGGAGTGAGTCAGGATCTCTTTCATCAAACAGTATTATAAAACATTGATGACGCCTATGTAGAACATTCTAGTTATATAACTAATTATACATCACTGACTAAAAACAATTGCTATAGAAATAAAAATACATAAATAAGAACCTCATGCAGAGTACATAATAACATTGAGATTAGTCAAATTCCAAAGGACTACTGCTAAATCTTATAAAGTTAAACAAGTTTTAACTAAGGAATAGAGAATCATCTATCTAAGACAAGATTTGAATGCCAATGATTAAGACACGATTTTCGCAACTGTGAATGGAGTTTTTTCCATCATTAATGAAAAATTTCATACATGTATATTCTTGCATAAGTCAGTTCTTATTATAAAAAATCTTTGTTAGTTAATAAACCATTGTAAATTACGAATACGTGGCAAACATCAATTGCACGCAATTATATTTACTTATGATCAATGAAGACACTGTGGATATAACAGTAAAGGTTGCAATGAAAGTAAACCTTAAAACTGTCAAACATGATCAAAAGTATAATTTTAAAAGCTCACTGTGTTGCATGAATGAACATTTCACAAAAATAGATTCGGTTGCGTCTTTCTCTGTGTAAACACATTCTTCCTGTGTTCAACATTTGCTTGTATTACAAATGTTCTTATTTTTAAAATGAAAGGTTTGCTTGATACAATTAACAGCATTTTGCTAGACACACAGCGATTAGTCGAAAGTGGCGTCGGCAAAAAATGGAGGTGATGCATGATTGGACATGCTATCCTCCCTACATAAATTTTTACAGATTCCCATTTTAACCATAGAGAAGTATGCTATTTCACCTCTCCCATACCTTTGAACAGGTTTTGCTTTCCTTTACCATGCAGCTTATTGTCAATAGTTAGAAAGTTGGTATATCAATTTTGATATGATTTCTCATGCATGTTTAGTCATACTTAATCGAGATGCTGCTTTAGCTAATTTGTCATGTCGTTAGTGTAGTTCTAAAATATCGCTTAATTTTTCTAAAATTACATTCTTTCAAAAGTAAGACGACCGTGTGAACAAAATTATGCTTGCTTTAGTTCTTTACATGTCACATACTCGACAAACGGATGAGAGATTTAATATAAACAACGCGACAACATACATATCAGTTAAAAATGGTGATCATATTTTATTCCTTATGGCAACATTAGCGTCAACAGCTCGACGAAATATAATTGCAAAGTTACGAAACGCCTAAATGTTTAAAAAAATCCGACTAAATATTTCAATTATCACTGATGGCATGCATGAGCCATTTGCAATTTCAAACTTAATTTTCCTCCTGCTTCATAAATGTCACTTCATACCATCACAAGTATAATGAAATAACACATATTTTATAAATATACCGTCCGGACCCAAAGATGAATATAATTGCATGCTAGCAAGCAATTTGAATTCCTTGGCAAACAAACACATAACGATAAACAGGCCTTCCTTTCGATAGCAGTAATTATTTTTCGTAAGTAAATTGTTTGTATTTGCAACTTCGTTTGATTGGTATACAATTACAGGATTACAAATTGCTACGGGTATCTATGATGTAAATTTCATAGTACTAAGGTGTGACTAATATTTAGTAAAAATATATTAACTAAATATGACAAACATTTTGTATTTAAGGTCACATTTATACATCGTAAACACACATGATAATTCTTTATCTTTTGTCTTACAAACCTTTTGCTGGTCGACGGTTGGAACTTTGAACATTCAATCTTTCAGATAAATTCAACGTTCAGAAGAGTTAAGCGTCAAATGTCTGCGTCGTTTGAGTTAATACGGGGCAAACAATATTGGGCCACTTAGCGAAAAATGCGGTCCTAAATTTTAATGCGCATGCGCTACTTCCGCCATGATGGCAGCAAGATAAACTTACAACTCAAAAATCTTGGCGTTATTACTTGAAAAGTTGAAATATTTATCCTGAGCCGACCAAATCAAAGCAGTGGTTAATAAAAGCAATCAAGACCTACCCTCAGTATCGTGCTGAAATGGGAACATACAATCAACATATTTTTATTCTTTTTCATGTACAACCAATGTGTACAATTCTATCGAGACCTGTATGAGAAATGCTGTGCCGTGGCCGTGTGAAAAATTTGACGTTCAAGATTAAACACAGATGCTCTAGAGAATTTTTTTGGAACAATACACCAGCAAGGAGGTAATTTTGACAACCCACGCCAATACAATTTATCAGGGCTTTTTGAAAGGTTTTTTTTCAGTTCACTTTTGACCTCTTCGAAAGAAAACTGTTCTAAAGATATACACACTCTGCTAACACAATTATAAAAAAAAAGCCCAACCCATTTAGTATGCCACTTACTTATGCAAAAGCTCCAAATAACTCACTGTTGATTGGTGAAAATGACTACCGAGAACAAAATATTAGCAACAATTTATTGCTCAAAAATGCTGCTGCCTATGTTTCAGGATATTTGCTAAGCAAAGCTTTCAAAATCCACAGCTGTCTCCAATGTAAGAACGTTTTGACTTCAAATAACATAAACAATGATGGTAATTTGCTTTGCTATTTCAAGGCATGTAAAGAACTCAACTTTGGTGGGCTGACTGCTCCTTCATCGTGCTATTTAAATTACATTATGCAACTTGAAGACACCTTTGTGGATTGCTTCTCAGTCACAACCAAAATCTGAATGTTGGAAAGAGCATCTTGAAGAGTCTTAACATGATACCAGTGCCATTCCGACATGTTCACAGTTTCCACTGCAATCTTTGGTCAAACTTTTTAAGAATGCGAATTTATTACAGCATCAAATTTGCAAATAGCGAGTTTTCCTCTTCTAATAAAAGATCGCGAAGTACATTAAAGTCAAGCATTTGTAACATTCTACAAACTTACTACAAGGAAAATTCCATAGACAAAGTTGATGATCCTTTTCATTGTAACTCGCAATACAAGCATAACCATGATTGAATGTTGGCAAGTTGGCAAAAGCTTTGAGGCAATCGTTTGCTTTCTCAGTAAAACAATGCCGAAAATGATTTCCGACAAATTGGTATTAATTGTCATCGGGTCGTCGGTCACAAACAATGATGACGTTTCTACCTTTGACTGATGGAAACATGCAAACATGTCAATATTCAATATGGTGTTTGAACGAATTAATTTTATTCCTCCTGTCATTGAAGATAACCCAAACAGCTGGGGTCCTACCTCTGTTTCAGATGCATTTAAAGGAATACCTTATCAACCATTCTCTAAAGGACATAAACTTGGCAAGGTAAAATATTTCATAAGAAATTCCTTGCTATCAATGTCTTCCACTCTGACCTTTAGTTGTTCTTATATTTTTGTGTCACGTGGTGAAATTTATAATCATATTTTACTAGCTATTATTGTAAAACATTGTTATGTAGTCATAAAAACCATTACTCTACACTTGTAAGAGGATAAAATATTATTTCTTGTATTGACTGTATAAATACAGGTCTTATAACATACATTTTCATTTTATGTAGGTTTCTGATTGGTCAAGTACAGCCTATCAAGATCGTTGATACCAAAGTTTGTATTCTGTCTAGACTTCACTATTTTCATGCAGTTTAATCATCTTGTTTTACTTCCATAGATAAATACTTAAATCAATTTGGTGGTGGTAATCAATATGCATATTATCATGAAGAAGATGAATCAACTTTCCATCTTGTTGACACAAGTCGACCACAAAAGCCTGTTTACATGCGCAATAGGAACAAATTCAATCAGGTACAATAGAAAATTTTTCTATACTTTTAAGTCTCAAAGTAAAATCACTTCTTTATTATATTTGTAAATTTGCTCATCTAAATTACTCCTTTTCATATGAACAACAATAACATAAAATTTTTTAATTTTTAGAGAAATAATCGACGTGATAAAGAGCATCAAATGCAACGTCAGCAAGCTGGGATGCAGAATTTGTTGAAGACTCGTGACAACAGACTCCATCGTAAATTGCAGAAATAATTTGCCAACAGAAACAACTGGCAAGAACGTAGAAATCAGGTTTGTAATAAACTTAGTTGAGGGAGGGGAGGGAGGGTAAGTTTTAAGGTGCAACTTCAGTGAAGAAAGTGAACAAAAGAATTGTGATAGTGTGTTACATGTATGAAGACTTTGAACTCCAAAGGATACATTATAAATTTATGGTAATTATGCAACTTGCATAAGATATTATGGTACACAAACAGATGTACCTCAACCATGAACACCTCGGAGGATACATAATAAATTTGTAGTAACATGACTGGTACACTTATGGATATACTCTAATTTTATATCTATATATTTAACTTATATGTAGACTCCTCAGAGGATACGTAATGCATCTGTGATGGTTCGGGAAGAGTGGAAGGTTATTGAAGAAATGGATTTTCCAAGATTATCAAAATTGAGTCTACCAAATGTTCTTGATCCAGATGATTTGTATGTTGTATCAGAATTCATTGTTGTATAAAACCTTCTTTGAATTTGCTAAACAAATGAAAGCAATTTTAACATCTATTCTGAATAGATACTAATGAATATCTTGTTTTTATCTGTTTATGAAGATCTCTCTATTTCTGTGCTTTGTTAAATAGGGTAAAATGTGGTGAACTGGAATATTAGGACAAGGCTTATGATCGTGTCAACATTAAGAATGAAGTCCCACTTGCCTTGCAAAACAGGATTTTCCATAAAGTCACAACGACTGATGATCCTGTTATCAGAAATGTAAGAAAACATTACTTGCTTTCATTGAATTAAATGGTTTGGATAACCATCATAATGATAACCACCAATGTTAACCACAATTGTTAACCACCAATGTTAACCACCAATGATAACCACCAATCATGACCAGTTATTAACCATTAATCATGACCAGTTATTAACCACCTATCATGACCAGTTATTAACCACCTATCATGACCAGTTATTAACCATCAATCATGACGAGTTATTAACCACCAATCATGACCAGTTATTAACCACCAATCATGACCAATTATTAACCACCAATCATGACCAGTTATTAACCACCAATCATGACCAGTTGTTAACCACCAATCATGACCATTATTAACCACCAATCATGACCAGTTATTAACCACCAATCATGACCAGTTATTAACCACCAATCATGACCAGTTATTAACCACCAATCATGACCAATTATTAACCACCAATCATGACCAGTTATTAACCACCAATCATGACCAGTTATTAACCAACAATCATGACCAGTTATTAACCACCAATCATGACCAGTTATTAACCACCAATCATGACCATTTATTAACCACCAATCATGACCAGTTATTAACCACCAATAATAACCAAGAATTATAAGCGTATGCATATTGCAAATGAATTGTAGGAACGAAATATAAAAACATTTACTTTATTGAAAAATTTAATTGTTCAATTTACTTTGATTTTACCAGATTTTAATGAAAGGAAATGTGTTTGCTACAGATACCATTATATCTACATTGATGACCTGCACAAGATCTGTGTACTCTTGGGACATTATAGCACATGTATGGATAGTATTTTTGTGAGAATTATCAATATACTATTAGTGATATTTATAACTATAAATGAAGTATTTATTTCATGTGATTTTAGCGTGTTGGCTCAAAACTGTTTTTTGACATGAGAGATGAATCAGCATTTGGTTTGTAAATTTTTAGTTTTAATTGATAATTGAAGAAACAACAAGCTTTTTTTATTATTGATGTCGTTTTTTAGATCTTTTGACTGTTAATGAAACAGCTGTGGAAACACCTATAGATGATAATGCAGAGAAAAGCATAAACTCTACGACGAACCTTGGTCTGGAAGCAACTTTTATAAACCAAAATTTCTCACAGCAAGTCTTGAAACGCTCAGAGGAAAAGGAGAAGTTTGATAAACCAAATCCTTTCATTGCCGAAGATAATGAAGAAGAAGAAAAGGTGGCATCCGTTGGTTACAGGTAAATTGTTCTTGTATAAATATAGATTGAAGACTAAGATCTAAAAAAGGAGATATTGTGCTTTACGGCGGGTATAAAAAAATCAGACCATTTAAAAAATGTCCAGCAAACTATCATTTCATCAACATCCATGCATTTTGGCATTGTCTGATTTATCTAAAAGTAAAAACAATCAGAAAAATTTATCTCGAAAATTGGGAGAGCACTTTGTAAAGCGTCAATTTAACTGCTTGCTCAAAGAAAATGAAAGGTTTAAAATTTAATTTAGTCGACCTGGTGAAAGTTTGTCATGTGCGGTGAAAAATTTTAGAAAATTTGATGTTCACCGTGTTCAACATATCAAAATTGGACGTTTTGTGTGTTTCACTTCTTTTTCTTATTCAAGACTGATAACATGCATAATTGACTGTTGGAATTTACTTAACTAACAAAAAATACTTAATTTGAAGGACAAACAAGTTTGGCCACACCAAGCCATAGTTTTCTGAACTTTTTTCCAACTTTTTTCATACACCCTGGCATACATGTGCTAAATTTTAACTATCATTGCTTTATGTTATTAAAACGCGCTGGAAACATGTTTTGACTTATTTATTTCGTAATTTTTTGATATCACATAAATTATTAAATATTTTATTTCATTGTGTTGAAGGTATACATGTTTTGACTTATTTATTTCGTAATTTTTTGATATCACAAAAATTATTAAATATTTTATTTCATTGTGTTGAAGGTATACATGTTTTGACTTATTTATTTGTAATTTTTGATATCACAAAATTATTAAATATTTTATTTCATTGTGTTGAAGGTATACATGTTTTGACTTATTTATTTTGTAATTTTTTGATATCACAAAAATTACTAAATATTTTATTTCATTGTGTTGAAAATATACATGTTTTGACTTATTTATTTTGTAATTTTTTGATATCACAAAAATTACTAAATATTTTATTTCATTGTGTTGAAGGTATACATGTTTTGACTTATTTATTTTGTAATTTTTTGATATCACAAAAATTACTAAATATTTTATTTCATTGTGTTGAAGGTATACATGTTTTGACTTATTTATTTCGTAATTTTTTGATATCACAAAAATTATTAAATATTTTATTTCATTGTGTTGAAGGTATACATGTTTTGACTTATTTATTTCGTAATTTTTTGATATCACAAAAATTATTAAATATTTTATTTCATTGTGTTGAAGGTATACATGTTTTGACTTATTTATTTCGTAATTTTTTGATATCACAAAAATTACTAAATATTTTATTTCATTGTGTTGAAAGTATACATGTTTTGCCTGCTTGTTCTTCCATTAAGAAGAAAAATGTGATAGTGTACAAGATAATTTTGACTTTCATCCTTCGCTGTGACCTTTCCTCGTTAAAATGTTGTATTAATCTCAACCAGTGAAATCATTTGTCTCTTATTTAGATATCGTAAATGGAACCTTGGCAATGATATAGAAATTGTTATAAGATGTGAACATGATGCAGTATTGTCACCTGGAACTTACATCAACATAAAGGCTCTAAATGAATGGGAATCTAAGGTACATTTATGTATGTGTAGGGAGGTATGGGAGAATGTCGTCATTACGTCATGTATGTATGTGTAGGGAGGTATGGGAGAATGTTGTCATTACGTCATGTATGTATGTGTAGAGGTATGGGAGAATGTTGTCATTACGTCATGTATGTATGTGTAGGGAGGTATGGGAGAATGTTGTCACGTCATGTATGTATGTGTAGGGAGGTATGGGAGAATGTTGTCATTACGTCATGTATGTATGTGTAGGGAGGTATGGGAGAATGTTGTCATTACGTCATGTATGTATGTGGGAGGTATGGGAGAATGTTACGTCATGTATGTATGTGTAGGGAGGTATGGGAGAATGTTGTCATTACGTCATGTATGTATGTAGGGAGGTATGGGAGAATGTTGTCATTACGTCATGTATGTATGTGTAGGGAGGTATGGGAGAATGTTGTCATTACGTCATGTATGTATGTGTAGGGAGGTATGGGAGAATGTTGTCATTACGTCATGTATGTATGTGTAGGGAGGTATGGGAGAATGTCGTCATTACGTCATGTATGTATGTGTAGGGAGGTATGGGAGAATGGCGTCAAAAGCTAGACACTCAACGTGGAGCTGTCTTGGCTACTGAACTCAAGAACAATGGCTGTAAGCTGGCAAAGTGGACTGTTGCGTCTGTTTTGTCGGGCTCTGAGTACTTAAAAATTGGGTGAGTATTGCAATTTGCAATGGAAATGATAGTTTTCATATTTATTATCTTCTGCGTTGTTTTTTAGTTTAATTTTTCTTTGTTTCAATTTAGTTACGTTTCACGTAAAAATTTTATGGATTCATCAAAGCATTGCATTCTGGGTACACAGCAGTTTAAACCACGTGAACTTGCTAGTCAGATGAATCTCAGTATGGACAATGGTTGGGGAATAGTACGATGTATTATTGATTATTGTATGAATCTTGAAAAGGGGAAATATCTTATTTTGAAGGATCCTAACAAGGTAACAAAGGCTGTACTGAGCTTATAGTTAACTGGCTCGTTAATCTTTTTTTTGGCAGCATTCGGATTCAGTTTAGTTTCACTCACGACAGAATTTCTTTGTTCTGGAAATGATGCATATTCATTACCCTTATTTATCATTATTTATCCATTGTGTATCCTTCTTATAAAGGGGATGATTCGTATTTACGATATTCCCAACAACACGTTTGATTCGGAAGATGACGATGATGACGAAGATGAAGAAGAAGCTGATGATGAGGATGAAGATGAACAAGAGGAGGAAATTGAGGGTATGTAAGAACAATGTTTTGATGTTTAGGGATAAGTAGGAGCATACGAAGCTCTGTTTTGTTAGTGAATCAATTCTTACTCATTTTTATAGCAAACATTTGATGATGATTTGTTGCTGAAGAATAAATTCAATTTCTATGAATTATTACAAGTACATGATTTTTTTTTCTTGAATTGTGTAATTCAATATAAGCTTCAATAATTTGCTTCGAAATAAAAATATCTTGAAATGTTCACAAGTGATTGTTTTTAAATTCCATATTGAGACTTCTTAATCAAATATCTCCATAAGTTGAATGTGAATGTCTTAATGGATGATTAATAAACATTATGAATGTGTATTGTTTTGTCGTTTATACACTTCATTTTGAGTTACATATCAACAGAAGGTTTTACGTTTTTTATGTCATTTGATATTACCAAGTATTAAAGTAAATGGTTTGAACCCGGGATCGTTACATGTTTGTAGATGGAGATCGTCGAAGTTAGTAGAGCCTTGAGAAAGACTGTTTGTTGTTGATAATGTTTATCTTCTCCCTGCTTCTGAGACAGTTAATATACACTGACTCTACTCTGACCTGGACGATTTACATCTACAAACATGTAATTTCAATGACGTCATGTGGTATTTGGTTTAACAGAATTTTGTTAGTTGAGCCACCTAGAATGAATATATGGTACTTCCCCCAACGTTCTAGTTTCGCCTCTGAATACAGCATTGACCATGAACTAACCATACATCATTAACCATGAACTAACCATACAGCATTGACCATGAACTAACCATACAGCATTAACCATGAACTAACTATAAAACAATGTACTCATAGTTTAGTCTGATAAATTTTGTGATTTGTTAACATTTTATTTTTTATTTCAGTGATGTTCAATAAGTGAAATTGGACAAAAGAATTTAAAAACCTTTTGATTTTTACATTTTATCATCCGTTTTTTAGAATGTGGAATCTTTGTTCATGGTTTTTGATATAAGAATTCGATGAAAAATTTTTTACTAGCGTTGATTTATCTCAGGAAATAACTTTAAGAAATTATTGCATGTGTCATGTTTTTCATGCATTCTTTTGCTGAGGTATTATGGTGGGCCCTAAGGGTGTCATCTGCGACGCTCAGTGTGTACTCTCTCATCCCCACCCACCCCCAACGTTCCCCCTCTCTTTGTGACGTCCTGCCATTTGCCTCAAATATTTCATTTACATCATTTCCGTTGCCCATATTGGTAAATTTCCTTCATTTGTCTTCTTTTGTGAAGTGCTTTAATAATACTGTCGTGTATCGTGGATATTTTTTACATGTAGAAAACACTTTGTATTTTCTCCTAACTTTCTTGATGCTAGCATAGGTGGTGAGAGTTGATATGTGGTGATATCAAGCGATCATAAGGTACTCGTATATACATACTTTGTTATTATCTAATTATTTTTAATTATTTTTCTAATTGACAAATAAAACTATTTTTTTTACATGTTAGTTCAGTGGAGATTATGTTGAATTTTGCAAGTGTAGATATTACAAAGCAAGCAATTATTGATCGCTTGTTGGATGGAGTAAAGCAAGTTAGTTGTAAAATATTTGTACGTAGTTTAAAGTTCGAACTTGGAACTTGTAATTTCGTTTCGTCTTTTATTGTATTGATTTTACTCGAATGATTTGGTCGACTTGAACCTCGTCGTTTCTTTAGTGTCAGGTACGATTTGGTAGTACAACCGAATTGGCTTCTGAGAAGGATAGCAGGTGAACTTGATATTTCTTCGATTGTATTGTATTGTATTCATTTTATTTCATAGTATAATCCTTATTTATCATAATCTTTGTATTTGTGATGAATTACAGAATCTCTTGTCTTTGTGAGCAATGGAACATTGTTCTTCAATTTGGCATTAAATCCACAAAAGATAAATTCTTTAAGGTATCTTCATCATTCCTCTCTCAATTCAGTCAATTTAAAAGCCATTCTTAAATAATTTGTTTTCATCATTTCTATGTTCATTAAAGGCAGGTGTTAATGAGGTCTGAAGGTCAATCTGTGTTCTGGCTATTTATCAAGGAACATCTTAGCTCTAGTGAAATAAAGACATATAATTCTTTACATAATGTAATGACAGATGTTGGTAGAGGTTGGTCAAGTTGTTGGTTTCTAAATGATTCCAGGAATGTTTGTGGGTAAAACCTTTTTGTATGCCATGAATTTGTTCTGACATTTTCTTTCTATTTTTGATGTTTATTTGACAGCTCAAGCATGGCTTAGGTCTAGTTTAAACGAGCAATCACTGGAGAAATATCTTCATAGCTTCATTGGGCATAAACTATTGCTTTTGTAAGTTTGATTTAAGTAACATTTAAGAAAGAAAGATAAATCTTGGCTTGATAAGCTATATGATTATCATAACCAATGTGTAATGCGATATAGTAATGCAATTTTCTTTTAACGGTAAGCTGTTGATGTCAGAATAATTATACGATGTGTAATTGTTTTAATTTCAGTCAGTATTATGAGCAAGATGCATTATTATTGGATGATGAACGATCTAGTATGTTACCAATGATGGCTGCTGGTAAGAATAAACTTGTTTATATTTCTATAATGGATTTTTTATCATTCCTTGTTTCTTCTTTAAGGCTTAAGTTCAATTCTTTTTGCAATTGACATTGACAAAGCTGAGTTTAACTCTATTACTGTACAGGTATGCTGGAATGCTATTGATATTGTTTAATAATGAATCTTTGCAAATAGAAATGGATGGTAAAAAATTGGAAGCTATGAATGTACTTTTCTTTAACGACTTTAATTTAATTTAATTTTTAGATTCCGGGAAATATCAGCCAAGCAGTTTCTCGTCCAACATCAATATGGGCTGTACCATCACCAATGTATGCAACGTCAGGAGCTCCTGGTGAAGTTTGTTAAATACAACAATTTAAGAAAATAAAGATTTGATCAGAATTTCATTTTTCTCTCCTGATCAAAAATATCCCTTTTATCCCTAATTATCCCTACCATTCATCTCATATATCGCTAATCTTATCATTCCTTAACCACACATGTCATTTATTCCTTGTAATCCCCCAACCATGCGTGTTCTCCTTAACCTTTATTATCCCATTATTACCTGTCTTCATTTATCCCTTAACTATACCTGTTGTTTATTCATCCCTTATCATCCCTTAACCGCGCGTCTTCATTTATTCTTTATCATACTTGAACAATGCGTAGTCATTTATCCCCACGCGTCTTCATTAATTTTTAACTTTTATCTTTCTTTTGTGTTTCAGGAAAAGAAAAGAAAAAACGTAAAAAAAAGAAAGCAAACATTGCTCAAATTGAAAATGTTGAATTCAAAGAGGCGGAAGAAGGAACTTCAGTCAGTTCTCATGGTAGTTCTTCCACGACAACGACTGCTCACGATAGTGCCACGAGTTTTACCCGAGCGGCATACGACATATTACAACGTAATACTGATTCTCAGGTACATGCTCGTGGTATCCATGCTTCCACTAAAAGGCCTTACGATTTTCTTGAAATGCCAAAGAACTCTCAGTTGGCTTATTGTTCGAAGTCTGAGAATTCAAGTCTTTCTTCCACAATGGCGAAATCCAACGTTGAGAACAAGAAGAATGAAACAGATGAACAAGTGGCTCGATTAACAAAGAAAAGCCAGGAAGTTCTGCATCTTAAAAACGAGTTTAAAACTGCGAATGATTTGAAAAAAAATCATTCTTTAACAACATCTTTGCAATCAGGGCGTTACACTGACTCATCGCTCTTGTCGGAGGAAGAAGTGTGTGAGCCTCTTGTTGATATGAACAGCGGTGTATCTCTAATTCCCGTAGTTTGCCCCGATGACGATAAAGGAGTTAGGAGTCTAGCTATGTCAGATGAAAATGAGCGATTTACTGTTGCACCTGAGACGTCACGACATTTAGTTCATTCAATAAATGATTCGCCCGTTTCAAGGTTAGAAGATACTTCATTATTTTATCGACAAGAATGTCTAACGAGTTCACCATTTTAACTGAGGTGGTAATTTATGTTGTTTTCAGTATTTACACTGATGAAGACGTCGAGAATGATGCAAGTTTAGCAATTGGAGCAACTGTTGCAGCGATATGTGCCACACGTGATGGTAGCATAGAAATTAATGATTACTCAGGATCGTCATTGGTCAGAACCATGGGTGATGGTTGTATGAATGTTAGTTAATTATGAAATGCTTTTATCTTTTTTTTGAGGGGAGGGGGAGGGGAGGGTAGAAAGCCATGTGTAAATATCTTTGTTATATTTAGTTCGTTATATTTGGTATGTTTTCGTTCTTTAGCCATCAGAGGAATATCCATCAGGCAAAGAAATGACTTCAGGTTTGTGTGTTTTTTCTATTCATGTATTTAAATGGTTTTTATTTCTTATATCTTTTGAAAATATATTTTGGGAACGGGAGAGGCACTTTTGCCTCAGGTTCTCAAACTATAAATGGCCTATTAGCAGGTAGAGTTAGTTTTAAATATAGAAATATTTAGTGCAATTGGATTTTACTATTTGTATCGTAGTTGCTTTGCTTGTTTGGAGACATCCGTCAAATTTCATCATGTGAACTGAATATTTGTATGTGTGAATAATTATAATTTCATGAATATCAATAAATACGTGGTTTTATTGTTGAAGAGGAATTAAAACAGGCGATTGTATCGATGATGTTAAGAAAAGATGAAGTTGAAGAACGTAACAGGTTGTATTATCGTCCTTCGTTTAATATTAACATTCCATTCGAATATACACTATTTTGCCCTGATTTTTCCTTCGATCATCTTTCCTGTAGATCATTACAACAACATTTGGAAAAGAGATGATGAAGTCAGCTTCTCTTCGTCTTCAATTAGAAGATTTAAAAGAGATATGTCGTCGAAAAATGAAGAAAATTGCGTCGCTCTTAACGGCTTAAAAAGGTTAGGACATTGAGAACTCTGCATTTCCGTTAATCAAAGATGTCTGTTGACCTGTTCGTTTTTGCTCTTTAGTGAAAATGATTTGCTCAAACACCAACTAAAGAAATACGTGGGTGCTGTTCAATCGTTGAAAAGAAATGACATTATGGAAGAAGGTTTACTAGAGGGATAGTTTATCTTTAAAATAGATGTAGAAGTCTAAGATATTCGATAATCTTTTGTGTGGCTCCAGAAAATGAAAGACTTTCTTCTATCATTCTTTCTCCGGAATCTGACGTCGACGAAGTGAGGTATTTACCGAAAATTTGTAGCAAAAGTGAATCAACGGCGTTGAATTTCGTTTCTTTTTCTTGTAGAAAGGAAGAAAACAAAGATTTTGAGCGGAAGTTGATCCAAGTAAGATTTCCATTAAACCATAATACTTTTACAAAACAAAACATTTGCCTTAAAAGGTTTTCATGTATCATATGCTTCATGAAGATGAGCCGAAATTTATTTGATAGAAAACTCTTTTATACGATGCACATGAGTGAATTTATTGTTCAATATACAGAATATTAAACGATTTTTTTGTTGATGTTTGAGGGAAAATAGACTGAAAAATTGAAAGTCAAAACAAGAACAAAAAGAATCGCGCATGCGCTGATTGTCTATATGTGTTTCATTAGCTTGTGCAAACCGATCTGAGCTCAACAAATCAAATCAATTAAAGAGAATTCGCAAATCAAACATGAATACATTTTAGAGGAAAAATTAAAACTTTTGTTTTAAATTTGTCTGTTTCGCATTATTGATATTTTTTTAAAAAGATATTTTTCGTGTTTACACTGGCTTATGCAAACCTCGGAGACGTTGGTGAGAACTGTTGAGCATAAGCAACACTCTACCTTCGGTTTCGGGCTTGCACTGATCTACTCTCGAGTTCTTCCAAAGGTCTCCTCGGTTTGCATAAGCCCGTGCAAACACAGTAAACATCTTTTATTTCGTAATAATACAACACAAAGAACTCAAACTTTGGCTTGTTTTAAAAAGAAAATCAAAATGCTACTACCTATTATTTCGTGGATAGTTTATCAATTTTTCTCTAAACTTTCAGCAAATATTTTACAGGCAAACTTCAACGGTATCATCTGTTTCAACGACGACATCGACAACACAAACTGTTCCTCCTACACATAATGGTTAAAAGGTAAAACCTTTAGGATGTCTGTCGAAAAAAACAGAGCATAGAAATTGTATAAGTTATATTGTATATATATAACATACGTATAGTTCAGTATATATAAATATAATATGTCTACAAAGTAGAAGAATTTCCTGATGCATCAATTTCAACGACTCTTTATTGTATGTGCTAAATACAGATATAATTTGTCAGTATTTGATACTATATAATAGTACATCATACTGGGTTTTAACAAGTTAAAACATAATATTTAACTTGAAATGAAAACAATCGTATTTTAAATACATCACACGAAAAGTACTATGCTATTAAATGTTGTGCTATCTCAGCACGATTTGATCAATTTACATATCCCGCGTCACCCAGCTCTTGCTGGCGAATGTTTATACGACTTGATACGTGACCAATTTTGATCAATACGTCATATGACTTTTTGCCGATCTTTCCCGCGCTATGTGTAAAGAGATTTCTTGCTGAAACAATCTTTATCGTAAGTATTACGTAAATTATTTCATTTGTAAGTTTCAAAGTATTACAGTGAGTAATATAACCTTTTTATTTCAGAGAAGAAGCGTAACGCATACAGTCGTTATTGTAAGTATTGTACAAAATTTCTAAGAATAGGATTTACTACTTCCTACATGTATGTATTGTAATATGAAGATGTCTTCAGCTAAACACGAAACGTTATTGTTGTAAAATTATACAACCATGAATATACATACCTTCTCATAATATTTTTCTATCCAGTTCATTCCTTTGATGTGTGCAAAACTAGTTTGTCAGCCTTCATTTACCATTGAAGCCTTTGTCTAATTTCAATGTCTGTTACTACGCCAAGCCACAGGTGCATGGAACATTGTTAGCTACGTTGATGCAAGCGCAAAAGATTTTCCCCCATTGAAAATGTAATGCACTACTAGTGAGGTTAGCACAGTGATTGGGTTTCGACATTTTACAGTAGTTTAATTGCCAAACGTCGTTGTTATGTACACCCTGTAGAATGCTAAATAAAAGAGATCAAATGTTAATGCTAATAAATACAATAAAAAAATGAGATGAAGATAACAATCTAGAGGGTTTATCAAATCGTTTTTGACATCAGTGGACCTTTAGAATTTGCATGATTCAGCTGTAGTTGTTCCCCAAGGAGACTTAAATGTTTGGGATTTGCTATTTGCTGTAGCTGAAGTATACGTTTTTATTTATATTGTATTAAATTGCATTTACCGCTCTATGAGGATTAATTACTTCTAAGTGATGAATCATGCAAATTCTATGTTTCACAATGTACAATTGAGGACACACCTGGTAAATGACCAATCAGAACACAACAGTTGACGACACACCTAGTAAATGACAAATCAGAACACAACACGTTTACAACACACCTAGTCACTGACCAATCAGAATACAACACGTTCGTGAAACTTGGGCCATAGTCTAAGACTAACAACGTGCCATTTGAACGTGAAAGTCTGTAATTGCACGAAAAATAGTTAGCCGAAATCGAAATTATTCCACGGTGAAACATCTCATGGAGTGCTTTGAAAAAATGTTCAGGTAAATGTGTTGTTTCAAGTTCTTTTGCATTGAGTAAACATTAAATTGGGACACTGCATGTGATGTTCATTAATGCAAAGTGCAGTGTGGCCTTTCCATAAAGTTTCCGTCTTAGTAACTTTTGTTTCCTCTATGCTTGATTTTAGACATGGACATTCTTCTCTTAAACGACAATTAGTCATCAAATGAGATTGAGAAACAACGAACAAATGTTGGTGTATTTACCATGATCGTAGACTCCACAATTAAAGAAAGTGGTTATTGTTCACAGCGGTTGAAGAGAATTGTGGCTGTTGTCGACCAGTTCCACGACGCTCATCTAAACATAAGAACAAAATAAAATTCTGTAATTTGGTTGAAAATCTTCTTCCTTGAACTACATTACTAGTGAATAAAATATTCAATGTAAGTATGTTATCAATGTTTTTCATTTATGGAAGTATAATAGTGTGAACTGACATTGGCTTCAATTGTCCTATGTAGTAGAAACCTTCTGATCAAGAATGGACAATAGACGTACTTTAATGAAATCCTCTGAACAATGATCAAGAATGAACAGCATACTTTAATGAAGTCCTCTGAAGAATTCTTAAGAATGAACAATTTACTTTAATAAAGACCTGAACGATGATCAAGAATGGACAATATACTTTAATGAACTCTTCTGAACAGTGATCAAGAATGAACAATATACTTCGATGAAATTGAAAAATACGTGACTTCTAATGCCCTAAAGACCATCTCTACAAAGAATGCAAACGCTAAACACTCTTCTGGAGCAATGCATCCATCAGCCTAACGCCTGTTTCCATGGAAAAGTCAATATTATGACCTTTTCTAAAACATTTTCCTGGGAGTTTTCCTGCTAACATCACGACTTGTCAATCAATCGCAATGATGGATAAAACCACGCCGCTATCAAATGCCCAAATGTCAACATTATTTAATTGAAAATTTTTGTAATAAAACATGGAATTTCTTTAACATGAAAATAAAAACCTAAAATCCTAATTTTCCGACTGGCTGTCGATATTTCCGATTTAATGCCGTAGACGACATGCACAGTTGCAAGAAATGGCCAATCTTGTTTCTGTGCTTGCCGTCGTCGACATAAAAGCGGTGATGTTTGTCAGGTAGCCTGAAAATTGGATACGATGGTTTCACCATCAACGTTCTGAATTTTCAAAAATTATTTTGGGCTTTTTTGTGGCTGTCCTTGCTCAACATCCGATCGTTTCATCTTCACAATTGGCATGAGATTTGTCATTCATCGTAGTCTGTCGTCGAACTGCCAAGGATTCGTCGAAAACCGTAAGTGTAATAATAATAAACCTTTTATTTAGTTAGGCCTGTTAACAGGTCAAATCTCTAATATAATTCGGGCAATAGCCACAACAAATCCTGGTGTTCAGTATATTCCACTGTAAGGCTATTTTTTAATGCAGGAATGCAAATATATATATTTAAAGAAATTTACATCTGCATTTTCAAAATAGTCTTGATTAAGAGGTAATAAAAGTGTTCTTTTGGTTAAAATAATCCAATAGTGTTTATCGGTGCTGCTTTAATTCTTTTAAAATTTGTGTCTTAGTAAGCGTGAATTTGTATCAACTATTTTAAGTCTGTGACTGGCATGCAACAATTGTGTTGTTCTATATAATTTACCTTCGAAAACCTCTGTGTGAATATACTGCTTTAAGGAGCTACGCATGATCGCAGCGGTTGTTGCCTCGCAGAAGGATAGGCAGGACCATAGCTTAGAATCGGAAATGCAAGTGAAGTTTGGCCCAAGGAAGGCAACTTCAACTTGGGGTTAGTGGGTACAAATGGTACCTTAGCGTAGAGGATGCAAATAGCATCTGTAAGAAGACCTTTGAAGACTGGATCAAGCGAGCAAGGCCTATTGAAGACCAAGGGAAGATCGTGGTTTTGGTGGAAAGAAAATATCTCTCCCTAGTACGGTAAGAGCATGCAGTCGTTGTAGTTGGCCAATTTCATGAACGGCTTTCTACATTGACTATTAAGGCACTCCTGCATGGATCCCCTATAATGCATGAGTAGTTCAACCCACCCCGGTTGGAGGTCGCCCGTAGGTGCAACATGCACTAGGTTAAGTTAAGTTAAGGGCATGATGGGTTACCTCCTTCAAGGGCATTCCTTTCAGGGCGGAATTCCGGTGCCATGCGCAGGTAGGAAGTTTAGATAGCTTAGGCATGCGCTGTAGTTGCAGCGAGTAGTTGCTACGCTTAGATAATGAGTATGGGGTTAGAACCTTTATAAATTTAAAGGATGAACTCCACTATCAAGAGAAATGACTAAATTTTTCAAAATCTTTCGAAGGAAACTTTAATCTTGTCAGTCATTTTCAAATCGACAAATTGAAACTCAAATAGTCTTCAGTTTGTCAAGACATTTACAGTTTAGGAGCGGCGTGGCAATTACTGTAAATGTAAAAATGGATATGTTGTTTTCTTATTAAGAAAACTTCATTCCTGGAATTTCGATGCGGCAAGCCACAGCAAAACAGGCATAAAAATGTTTAGTACACCAGGTCTAAGTATGCGGAATGGCTTCATATTAACCAAACTAACACGAAACATAGTTTTAATAAAAGCACATTGTTTGTTTTCTTTGATGGTTACCATGAAGACAAACCGCAGACGTTGTCACATATGATACAAAATAGTTACACGATGGTTTCCATGTTCACCATTCGCGTTGCTATGTAGTCATCTATGTGATAATTGTCAAACTAAAACATAACTTAAATCAAGCGCTGCCGGTTGTTTGGTTAAACCATCCACGGTCCCTCGGTAACCAAACTTAACGTGTGCTTCTTCAAGTGTTCTAAATTGTTTCAAAAAATATTAAATTTCGTCTGTCTGCTTAAAATATTTTGAAGTACATTTATCTAATCCATGTCATGCAGCAAGCGCTTGCTCCAACTTTAAGCGTTAGTGGCACCGGGCGCGCAAAGCACTGAATGAAACGGTGCAAAATAGGGACTGCTAAGGTGGCGCTAGGTGCGACTGATTCGGATGTGGATTAGATAAGAAAAACACACGTTAAAAGAAATTCCCATCCAAATTACACAATTTTCTCGTCCAAAGTAGAAAATTGTCGAGTTCGCTGATTGGTTTACGTGCGGTAAAACTAAAATGTGGCGGTTTGGACGTAAGTTGTATGTACGTTAAAAATGGCGAATTATATCCATTACTAAAATACTTGAAAGATTTTTGGACTTGAAGGTGTATTTTGAGAAATTGACGGTTTTTTCTTTTTTTTTGGTATTTGCATCGTTGCAAAGGTAAGTAAAGATTTTTGTTTCTAAGGGTCCCCCGGGGCGCGGAACTTCGGCTGAAATCCCTAATGGTTTTTTCCTCTTCAGTATTCTCCAAATTCTCGTGCCGTTGTGTTCGGTTTTGGTTTATACCGTTCAGGTTTTTCCATTAGAGATTTTTTATTTCGGTTAAGTCATCAAAAAAAACAGTGACCTTGGTGTGGGACTAAACTTGTACTACTTGTCATATACAACCATGGAACAAAAAGAAATGTAATTTGAAGACTATGGATGCTTAGCTGAGCGAACCCTAGGGTCTATCAGCTAAAATTTACAGCCATCTTCAATTTCGTTAAAAAAACAGCGTCATGTTTAAGCAATTCTGCATTTTAGAACAGTTTGGGTGATTTCAGTTTAATCATTTTTTATATTTATTTACTTAACACTTCTTGTAAATGTGAAAGTTAAACTTGCATGTATTTGGGGCGTAAAGTTGGATATTTAAGCATTTTAATGCTAAAACGGCATTATAAAAAAGCTGATAATTGTTTATTGTTTGTGACTTTAAATTGTGAAGTGTAATTGAACGACAAAGCTCTTGAACTGTTTTTGTCTATTACGATCAAGCAATAACTTACCAAATTTGAGCTTCAAAAATTCTACAAAGATCAAATTTTGGAACTATAAAATATTCAAAATATGTTCAATAGCCAAAATCATCTGAACTTTCCAAGAAAAAACAGCCCAACTGTGGGGTATCTTCAAAGAGCGGAAAATTTAGTCTTTGGGTTCGATTCCCAATACACTGTTTTTTAGTATATGTGCAATCAAATTGTCAAGTTTGGATTAAATCCGTGTCGGATAATCCATGATATAAGGAAGGAACTTTTAAATTTTAAAGAATCTTTGCAAGAAGCAACATGTTAATCAGATTGAAGATCATGGAATCGGGTAAAGATTAAGGATTACAAAATAACAGTCCCAGTCTCCCAACGCTCTCGTCTAAATCTAAACAATAGTATGAAACAATATTGAAACAAAGCAAAGAAAAGATTTTACGTTTTATTAGTTGACTAAGTTGAGGGAAGCTTAGTACTTTCCCGTGTTTCAAAAAATTCATTAAACTACGGTGAAGTAAACATATTAAAATGGCTCTTGAAAATACGGTCCAATTATCCGAGAAATACGAAGCAGTTATGGTTCTCAGTGGAGTGGGGATGCTCTAGGTTATAAGAATGGTTTGTGGGAATTCTGTTACAGTGGTACTCAAATTCATGAAGAACTAGAAAAACTCGGAGGACTTGATAAAATTGACATTAAAGGATGGAGGGTTAGTGACGACACTGTACTACACATTGCTACAGCAGAAGCGTTGGTTTCTGAATGGACAACAACGGAAGAGTTATTGAGCATTATGGCTACAAAGTACAAGAAGACATGTGCTGAGGATATGTGGGAAAGAGCTCCTGGGCAGACCACAACAAAGGCATGTTTCATGTTACAACCTCTTGAGGAAAAAGGTTACATTATACCATTTAATGAACGAGGTGGAGGATGTGGTGCAGCTATGAGATCCATGTGTATAGGTTTGATGTTTCCTTGTGAAGATCAAATTGAAATGTTAATTGAAATTGCTGTTGAAAGTGGAAGGATGACTCATAATCACCCACAGGTATTCACCTTTCATAATAAAGCAACGATTTCAGATCATGTATCAATTATCAAGTCACTAATGTCTAGTGTTTTGTCTATCAACAAGTGTTGCTTTGTATAAAGTTTGCTAGGTTTTCCTGTTATCTGCATTTCTTTTCATTTTAACAAACCTTTATAGTAATTTAGCTTTTCAATCCTTTTGCTTTTCTTAGATGTTTTATCTTCAACTCTTCCTTGATTACTTACTTGATCAAGCCATTACCATGAATGTTTCATATCCTTTTATCTAATATCAATTTATAAATGAAATAAAAGAAGGTTGACCTTAGGTTTGCATAAGTCTATGCAATCCATCATTTTCTAGAACCACATCTCAAATGCCTCCATCCTTCTAACATTGCTCACTTTAAATGACCATATCTTTGATCCATCCCTTTTATCGCTTTTCCACATTTCCAAATTTCTGTCTTCTAAAAACTGTTTGAATTGCCATTGCTGTTTTGCTTTAATATCTTCACTACTACAGCCATTCAATCCATGATCCATATCAAAATGCCGCTATTATGTAAATAGGGTCATCATAATGTAAGTGACCTAAAATTAGCAATCTTTAAAGATAATGATTTTAATTATAGGTTATCTAGGGGCTGTTACTGCAGCTTTATTTACAGCCTATGCTATACAGAAGATGGCTCCAAAAAAATGGGGAGCAGGACTTTTAAGTGTTTTACCCAAAGTTTGGGAATACATTGAGAAGGTTGGTCGTGATGTAGAAGAAAACAAGAAATCTTGGGGCTACTTTAAAATAGTTGGGAGTCATATCTTGAACTACGGGATTAATGAATGGAACCAGTGAACCAAAGTTTCCAGTGACATATAACATACCTGAACGTGATGCTTTTATAAATCTGTCAGTTATGCAGGTTGGGGTGGGTCCAGTGGTCATGATGCACCAATGATTGCTTACGATGCTTTGATGATGGCAAAAGATTCCTGGTTTCAATTGTGTTCTTGTTCTATGTTTCATGGTGGAGATAGTGACACAGGAATATTGGCTGCAGCATGGTGGGGTGGTATGTATGGTATGAAAGGTGTACCCCTTGGAAATTATAGGAACCTGGAATATGGTCATAGGCTTATGGAGCTGGGTAAAAAATTACTGAATGTATCAAAGAATATGAACAACTAACAAGATAGTATTTATTTAACAAAATTCTGTCATCCCAATATACTTTAGTATGTTTGTAAATCATACAATAAAAATTACTACTTGGTTATGACATAAAAGCAAATTACTTTAGAAATAAAGTCTAAAGAATGTCAGATTCAGGGCATGGGCAGGTCTAAGTTTTACTTAGGATGATTCCTGGGCTGTAGAGTAAGTTTATTGACTAGATATCAGTGAAACTATACATAGACAAGGACCATTACATCTTTAGGTTCATTTTACCTCATAAAGTGCAAACTGAAATTGTTTTTTTCAGTACCAAAAATACCTTCTGAGGGGAGGGGAGTTGACTTGGCAGGTGGAAGTCTTGCTCCTACGGTCTATGTGTTAAAAATAGGCTTAACATAATTTAGAAGGCACAATTTCTTTGAAACACGTAGCTACCAAAGTGTAACTGTAAAGCTTTGTCATATTCTCGAGTTTCATAATACAACACACCTAGATTTTTTAAAAGACTTAACGACATTAACCTGACTAGTCCCTAACGATTGTTTTCGAATTTCCAGAGCTTTTTCAAGAAACTCTATCGCTTTGTCGTAGTTTCCAGTATCACTATACACATTACCAAGATTGTTTAAAGACGCAACGACATAAACATGATTTGGACCTAACGATTGTTTTTGAATTTCCAGAGCTTTTTCATAATACTCTATAGCTTTGTCGTAGTTTTCAGTTTTATAACAATAAACCAAGATTGTTTAAAGACCTAGCGACATCAACATGATTTGGACCTAACGATTGTTTTCGAATTTCCAGAGCTTTTCATGAAACTCTATAGCTTTGTCGTAGTTTCCAGTTTTTAAACACCAAGATTGTTTAAAGACGTAGCGACATCAACATGATTTGGACCTAACGATTGTTTCGAATTTCCAGAGCTTTTCATAAAGCTCTATAGCTTTGTCGTAGTTTCCAGTTTTTTATACACATACCAAGATTGTTTAAAGACGTAGCGACATCAACATGATTTGGACCTAACGATTGTTTTCGAATTTCCAGAGCTTTTCATGAAACTCTATAGCTTTGTCGTAGTTTCCAGTTCATAAACACATTACCAAGATTGTTTAAAGACGTAGCGACATCAACATGATTTGGACCTAACGATTGTTTTGAATTTCCAGAGCTTTTCATGAAACTCTATAGCTTTGTCGTAGTTTCCAGTTTTATTAAACACATTACCAAGATTGTTTAAAGACGTAGCGACATCAACATGATTTGGACCTAACGATTGTTTTTGAATTTCCAGAGCTTTTTCGTGAAACTCTATAGCTTTGTCGTAGTTTCCAGTTTCATTAAACACATTACCAAGATTGTTTAAAGACGCAGCGACATCAACATGATTTGGACCTAACGATTGTTTTGAATTTCCAGAGCTTTTTCGTGAAACTCTATAGCTTTGTCGTAGTTTCCAGTTTCATAATACACATTACCAAGATTGTTTAAAGACGCAGCGACATCAACATGATTTGGACCTAACGATTGTTTTCGAATTTCCAGAGCTTTTCGTAAAACTCTATAGCTTTGTCGTAGTTTCCAGTTTTGTAACACATTACCAAGATTGTTTAAAGACGCAGCGACATCAACATGATTTGGACCTAACGATTGTTTTCGAATTTCCAGAGCTTTTCGTGAAACTCTATAGCTTTGTCGTAGTTTCCAGTTTCATGTAACACCACCAAGATTGTTTAAAGACGCAGCAACATCAACATGATTTGGACCTAACGATTGTTTTCGAATTTCCAGAGCTTTTTCGTGAAACTCTATAGCTTTGTCGTAGTTTCCAGTTTCATTATACACATTACCAAGATTGTTTAAAGACCTAGCGACATTAACATGATTTGGACCTAACGATTGTTTTGAATTTCCAGCTTTTTCGTAAAACTCTATAGCTTTGTCGTAGTTTCCAGTTTTTTTAAACGCACTACCAAGATTGTTTAAAGACGCAGCGACATCAACATGATTTGGACCTAACAATTGTTTTTTAATTTCCAGAGCTTTTTCATGAAATTCTATAGCTTTGTCGTAGTTTCCATCATTATACACATTACCAAGATTGTTTAAAGACGCAGCGACATCAACATGATTTGGACCTAACGATTGTTTTCGAATTTCCAGAGCTTTTCGTGAAACTCTATAGCTTTGTCGTAGTTTCCAGTTTTATAAAACACATTACCAAGATTGTTTAAAGACGCAGCGACATCAACATGATTTGGACCTAACGATTGTTTCGAATTTCCAGAGCTTTTCGTGAAACTCTATAGCTTTGTCGTAGTTTCCAGTTTTATAAACACATTACCAAGATTGTTTAAAGACATAGCGACATCAACATGATTTGGACCTAACGATTGTTTTTGAATTTCCAGAGCTTTTCGTGAAACTCTATAGCTTTGTCGTAGTTTCCAGTTTCATACACATTACCAAGATTGTTTAAAGACGCAGCGACATCAACATGATTTGGACCTAACGATTGTTTTGAATTTCCAGAGCTTTTCGTGAAACTCTATAGCTTTGTCGTAGTTTCCAGTTTTCAAACACCAACCAAGATTGTTTAAAGACGCAGCGACATCAACATGATTTGGACCTAACGATTGTTTTGAATTTCCAGAGCTTTTTCGTGAAACTCTATAGCTTTGTCGTAGTTTCCAGTTTTATATACACATACCAAGATTGTTTAAAGACGCAGCGACATCAACATGATTTGGACCTAACGATTGTTTTCGAATTTCCAGAGCTTTTCGTGAAACTCTATAGCTTTGTCGTAGTTTCCAGTTTTTCAACACCAAACCAAGATTGTTTAAAGACGCAGCGACATCAACATGATTTGGACCTAACGATTGTTTTTAATTTCCAGAGCTTTTTCGTGAAACTCTATAGCTTTGTCGTAGTTTCCAGTATCAATACACATTACCAAGATTGTTTAAAGACGCAGCGACATCAACATGATTTGGACCTAACGATTGTTTTTGAATTTCCAGAGCTTTTCGTAAACTCTATAGCTTTGTCGTAGTTTCCAGTTTCATACACATTACCAAGATTGTTTAAAGACGCAGCGACATCAACATGATTTGGACCTAACGATTGTTTTTAATTTCCAGAGCTTTTCGTGAAACTCTATAGCTTTGTCGTAGTTTCCAGTTCATTATACACATTACCAAGATTGTTTAAAGACGTAGCGACATCAACATGATTTGGACCTAACGATTGTTTTCGAATTTCCAGAGCTTTTCGTTAAACTCTATAGCTTTGTCGTAGTTTCCAGTTTTATAAAACACATTACCAAGATTGTTTAAAGACGTAGCGACATCAACATGATTTGGACCTAACGATTGTTTTGAATTTCCAGAGCTTTTCGTGAAACTCTATAGCTTTGTCGTAGTTTCCAGTTTTAAAACACATTACCAAGATTGTTTAAAGACGCAGCGACATCAACATGATTTGGACCTAACGATTGTTTTCGAATTTCCAGAGCTTTTTCAAACTCTATAGCTTTGTCGTAGTTTCCAGTTTTATAACACATTACCAAGATTGTTTAAAGACGCAGCGACATCAACATGATTTGGACCTAACGATTGTTTTCAATTTCCAGAGCTTTTCGTGAAACTCTATAGCTTTGTCGTAGTTTCCAGTTTTATAAACACATTACCAAGATTGTTTAAAGACAGCGACATCAACATGATTTGGACCTAACGATTGTTTTGAATTTCCAGAGCTTTTCGTGAAACTCTATAGCTTTGTCGTAGTTTCCAGTATTAATATACACATTACCAAGATTGTTTAAAGACGCAGCGACATCAACATGATTTGGACCTAACGATTGTTTTGAATTTCCAGAGCTTTTCGTGAAACTCTATAGCTTTGTCGTAGTTTCCAGTTTTTCAACACCAAACCAAGATTGTTTAAAGACGCAGCGACATCAACATGATTTGGACCTAACGATTGTTTTTGAATTTCCAGAGCTTTTCGTGAAACTCTATAGCTTTGTCGTAGTTTCCAGTTTATATACACATTACCAAGATTGTTTAAAGACGCAGCGACATCAACATGATTTGGACCTAACGATTGTTTTCGAATTTCCAGAGCTTTTCGTGAAACTCTATAGCTTTGTCGTAGTTTCCAGTTTTTCAAACACCAAACCAAGATTGTTTAAAGACGTAGCGACATCAACATGATTTGGACCTAACGATTGTTTTAATTTCCAGAGCTTTTCGTGAAACTCTATAGCTTTGTCGTAGTTTCCAGTTTCAATATACACACCAAGATTGTTTAAAGACGCAGCGACATCAACATGATTTGGACCTAACGATTGTTTTCGAATTTCCAGAGCTTTTCGTGAAACTCTATAGCTTTGTCGTAGTTTCCAGTTTCATATACACATTACCAAGATTGTTTAAAGACGCAGCGACATCAACATGATTTGGACCTAACGATTGTTTTTGAATTTCCAGAGCTTTTTCATGAAACTCTATAGCTTTGTCGTAGTTTCCAGTTTTTTCAAGCACAAAACCAAGATTGTTTAAAGACGCAGCGACAGCAACATGATTTGGACCTAACGATTGTTTTTTAATTTCCAGAGCTTTTTCATGAAACTCTATAGCTTTGTCGTAGTTTCCAGTTTTATAATACACCTCACCAAGATTGTTTAAAGACGTAGCAACATCAACATGATTTGGACCTAACGATTGTTTGTTTTTCAATTTCCAGAGCTTTTTTGTAAAGCTCTATAGCTTTGTCGTAGTTTCCAGTATCACTATACACATTACCAAGATTGTTTAAAGACGCAGCGACATCAACATGATTTGGACCTAACCATTGTTTTCGAATTTCCAGAGCGTTTTCGTGACAATCTATAGCTTTGTCGTAGTTTCCAGTTTCATATACACATTACCAAGATTGTTTAAAGACGCAGCGACATCAACATGATTTGGACCTAACGATTGTTTTGAATTTCCAGAGCTTTTTCATGA